ATTAGCTTCTTGTTACTACTAGTAAGGCACTTGTTACTAATAGCTTCTTGTTACTACTAGTAAGGCACTTGTTACTACTAGCAAGGCACTTGTTACTAATAGCTTCTTGTTACTACTAGTAACGCACTTGTTACTACTAGCAAGGCACTTGTTACTAATAGCTTCTTGTTACTACTAGTAAGGCACCTGTTACTACTAGCGTGGCACCTTGTTACTAGTAGCAAATTCTGGTGCGTTGGGTCGAGGATGGATGGTAGCTTGGTAGTATCTGGTGCCTTAGGCAAATACGAGATCTTAAAGACGAATCGGTTGCCACTGTGGTGGAACACAATGGCCATTGTGGACAGTGGTTCGGAGTCTTACACATTGCCCAGTTAGTTGACTATTGGCGGACCCCAAAAAACAAGCCCGCTGATTCCAAGACCCACTCTTTCACTCGTAACATGCACAGAATGTACTTTCGCTGGTTTGCTGCTACAAAAAGACTTCTGGGCTGACATGGGCTGGCCCATCGATTGCACTCAACCCGAAAGGCATCGGCATCGACCCATCGAAAGCCGGTCGACTCGGCGCATCGACGGAGGTCGACTCGGATCCGAAGACACTCGGCGCCGCACGTGTGAGACACATCACCTCGTGGGGCGCTGTTCATCCGCCTGACACACACCGTGACGTGGGGTGGTGACTGGGTGACCCCTGTTTGGGTGAACAATAGCTTGAAGGCCGATCACCAAATCAATCCAAATAGAATCACCAATGCCAAAGCCAACACATATCAAAGCACCAAGAACATCCAGGAGCAAGATGTTTACTAAGAGCAAGATGTTCACCAATGTCCGACTCAAATGAACCCAAAGTGGGTTTACAGATGTTTACAGTGGCTATTGATACTCTAAGTCCCTGATGAGTTTTGCGGAATCGCCATCTATCTATATAGATATCTCTGTAAAAATCGATCGGTCCCTCTGTCTGCCTTGGTCGAAGAGCTTTCTGCACCACTTCAGACTTTGAGGGAATCAACTCTGCAATCGCAGCCCTGTCACCGCCGAAGTCACCGGCGAACGGCCCGAGCCGAGCCGGGAAATCGGAGATCCATGATGTGAACCGACAGGTGTTGTGTGTGTGTTTCCTTTTCTATTTTTGTTGCGATCGCATGTCACCTGCTTCCACATCAAAGAGTCCAACTGATTCAAGTAATTACGTGGACCACGGATTTATCGTGGTGTGCGGTGGAACACTCATGCTAGTTGCTATTGATTTAGGCACAAATGTTCAGGCAATCTCTATCAAAAGTCCGCCAGGTTCAAGTTCTTGAAAAAACAAACACTAGCAACAGCAAGTGGTGATGAAATTCATCAGCACGTCGAGGAAGCGGTGGAAAACAAAAACAGCTGGCTGGTGCTTCGTGGGTCATCCCAGCTGGGGTCGTGTGGTTCTTGGCGAATCCACCGCGGCGAAAATGTTAATGTCGGATTGTTTGTTTGTATTGAATACAAATTTTGCTGTTTTCGGTTTTGCTAGGCAGCTCTTTCTGGAGTTTGGAAATTCATGTAGATGTACAAGTGTGCAGACGTATTGTAGTTTCCTTGTTGCTCTTCGACTTTGCTGGGTAGCTCCTCCTAGAGTTTGGACATTCATGAAACCAAAAGCCACAGAAGTCACAAAAGTCACGCAAGCCAAACCAAAAACAACTACGCCAGCATAGACCCCAGATAGCAAAAAATCATGGGCAGCAGTACTGTGCAGCGGCACCAGCACTCAGGCCCCGTGCAGCGCACACAAACACCTCTTCCCATACTTGAAGTAAGAACCCCAATAGCTCTATCTGGCAAAAAATCCGCACAAGCCAAAGATGCTGAAAGCCACAGAACAGAAGATGACAGAAGCCAGAAAGCCACAAAGGCAACAAAAGCCAAAAAGCTACAGACAAGCCAAAGACGCCAAAAGCCAACGGAAGCAACGGATGAGCCGAAGACGCCAAAAGCCTCAGAAGCAACAGGAAGCAAACGAGACAAAAACAATTCCAAAAGCACTTGCCCTCAATCCACCGCTGAGGTATCGGAATTGGATGGATGAATGAGCAAAAAGGGTCTTGCAGCCTGGATCCTAGCAGTACTTAGATCTGTATTCCAACATTGTATAAATAGTCCTGGATAGGTACACATCTCTGACAGAGGGGGATCCAATAAAGAGGCCCACCCAGGACCTAAATTATATTAGTCTATGTGATCCTCCAGGGTCACCGAAAATGCAATACACACCCCACGCCCTGTAGCTGCCCACGCTGGCCAGCTCAAGTTCCACATTTCAGTCAGTTGGTAACAGCGCTTCGAAGACTGCCGTTGTCCCAGAATCGCTGCACACAAATGACTGAAGTTTCAAAAATGGATCGCAGGACTTGGCACGAGCCTTTTTCAATTAGTTATATTAGAATTATACATACAGTATGTATGTAAAAATAAATCTATATACTATATATATATATGTGTGTAATGTATGTGATGCTGCTCATATATGATCATTCCGCATGTTTCATCTTCCTGGTGTCACGAATTGAACCCATAATACCCAGACACATGTCTGGTCCCATGAACCGAGCAAACCAATGAACCCCGACCGGGTCTGACAATGCGACCGACCGCTGGGTCTCCCACGATGAGAATCCGCCAGCAGAAGCCTGATCGATCAGAGGAACGAAGGAGAACAAGGGTGTCTGGCTGCTTCAACATTGACATGAACCATTTATGATTAAACCAAGGGCCATCTTGCACCTGACCTAAGATCGAACCCGCCCAGCTTGTCCACTGGTCAAATGAATGCAAATGAGCAAACGAACCGCCCTGACCAGTTCAGCAAGTGCTTGGGCTCCAAACAGCCATGTTGACTGCTGCTGGTGTGGTTCATCGGCCGCGCGGTGGTGAATTCGGATGGTGCTAGTCTCCACAAGATGGATCATGATGATGGATCGTGTATGATCATGTTTAAGTTCATAGGTACTCGATAGAAGCAATCAGAACTCGGGATCCCATGATTCATCATGATTCCATGTCTGGTCCTTTTTTGTGAGGGATTGAAAGGAGACCTTCTCTGCCTGTGCCTCTACGCCCCTTTACACCAAGTCCTTTGCTGTTATATTTTGTTGGAGGGTGGGGATCACTCTAAGTAGAGTAAATGATTGATTCTTATATTTTTTGGATGCCTATCAATCCATTGTTTGATGCCTATTCCGGCCAGAACTAAGGTGCTGTAGCTGGCAGTTGGATGTTGAAGTGCATTTCTGTGCTGACATTCAACAAAGGTTTCGCACTCTTCAGCATGCTCTTCAATGTTCACAGCCCGAACTACGTAGGCTCGTGGTTCAATCGATGACCGACCAGACTGTGAATCAAACGACATGCCATCAGCATAACCAAAAAGGCAGCATGATGTGGTCTTCAGTGTTCAGTGTCTTCCCAGCAGTCCGAACTGCGAGGGAAGAGAACGGACCAATTCCACTGAGTCCAGCTGTGAAGCATTGCCATCACGGTTCCTTTCTTTGTGGCCTTGGAAATGGCGAACTAAGCCACTGGAAGTGCTCTGTGTCTTCCTGCTTGATGATGTGTTGGGTGACGCTGCTTGATATTGTTTGATGCTGTTTGTGTGTTGGTGGATGGACTTGGCAATCGAAGCTGGAGCGAATCCTGGGATCACCTGGAAATGGCGATGCCCGACTCCTTGCAGTTGAATGGCCTGAAGAGCTAAATAAATAGAAAATAACACTCCACTCCCTGAAATCATCATGGTTTTAGGTGGAGAACGCCAACGGCCCCGAGTTCGGATGAACCTTTCCTCTACAAACAGGTGGTGCCATCCACTTCCAGGATTCTTTCCATCGCGTGGCTGCGATGTACGACGACTACCGGAGATGTTTTCAGGGTCTAAGGGCTGCCGGTGAAAACGACTCATGTCATTGTCATTGTTATGTATTTTGTGGTATTTGACTGACATGGTACACTGTAAATCCTCCAAAAAATACTGTGAACACTAACACAAATAAATGTCAATGACTGACCTGACAGCGCAACTATAGATGCTTACTTAGTTGCATCTTCGAGAAAGAGCTGATCCGAACATTTTACAAACTATATAGCAAGATGATTTACACATATATGAAAGATCATGAAAGTATCTTCACCAATGACTGCGAGTCATGATCAGACCGGCCACAGCTTGCCAAGAAGAAACAAAATTCTGCAACGTTGATTCTCGTTTGCACATTGTCGGAGCTGAATGTACTTTTTCACCTATAGTTGTTTTCATCATCATGTTGTCACATCTCAAACTGCATGCAGCAGTTGGAAGAACAAAGCAAGCACCCTTTCCCACGATCTTTCCATTCATGTGTTTGTCGCAAGAAGCTCCCATCTTTCACAAGACTATAACATCTCTGTCCAGTGCGTCGAATACCATACTGGTCATGACCCCAGGAAGCAGGTTTCGCTCTTATTTGGATGTCAACCATGTACTTCCCCGAAGGGCAAAGCTGCCACTTACCGTTGAATGTATTCGTCAAGTTTTGACCACAAGCTCATCAGCTCGCGGCTCCGGGATGGCGTATGGCGGACCTTGCACCGTCAAGTAGCCTCCCGTCAAGTAGCGCTCCAAAGCGGCTCCTTTGAGGCCATGGATGGGAGCATTCCTTCGGGACAAGCGTCCTTCGACCGGAGTTATATACACTATATGACTATATGTCACACTTCAGCTTCTTCTGTGCCCGACCCTCCACGCAAACGAGGCAAAATGAAGTCGACCTGTCATTGCAAGTAATTAAGCAGTCGACTTCTTTTTCCAGTCTGTCGCAGTTGGAAACGTTCACCGGTCTGTAGCAGTCCGTCTCCTGGAGACCCTGTAGGGCTCGTTGGCGAAGCGGAAGCTGGTGGATGCCGGTGGCCATGTGGCCGGTGGTGGCATCGTTCCGTGGATTCTTCACATCCCCCAGCCCCACCAAAAGCTGCGGACAGCGCGCGTTCGTACTGCGATCGTAACAGTCGAGTGTCTGCCAAGTTACGGCACGTTCATCCACTCAACGTAATCCTTTACAACACGTTTGCATGTTTGAAGAGTGTCTCCTTCTCCACACGCTGCAACATGATCAAGTATGGAAACACTGTGAGATGCTCAAGAGCTACTGGCATAGCAGTGAAGACAATGCCATTGACACCTGGTGTTGTTGGCCCATTTGTAGCAGTCTCTCTGGATATCTGGATGTACATGTCAGGCAAACACGCGCGAAACACGTAGTTCCGCGCGATTCACATCTCGAATCTGAAGAGTAAGAGCGAACGGAGGAATCTTGTCTCATCGGAAATGCCACTGCAGAAGGTAACTCCATGAAGGGGATGAAAGTGGTCAAGTGGTCCTCACTGGCCTACCATGTTTCAGGATTCTTGCTCAAAATGTCTATGAAAATCTATGAAAATCTCAACTGCCTGACTCAGCCAAGTCTTCGCCGTGTCTTCGCAACGAGTCAGACGGACATGAGACTCTCGAGACTCTCCGGGCAGATGTTCTGCGCGAGAAGCTCCGGGCCACGATGGACTACCGATACTGGGCTTCTTGGAACGCGTGTGCTTCTTGTACACCCTCAATGTCGTCACGTTAGCTGTTGCATCAGAACGGCAACAGTGCGGCAACAGTGCGCCAAGCAGCCATACTGTGAGACAAATGGTTTGGCAGGCATCCCAACTGCAGCATCGGGTTCAACCTTGGTTTTCCGGGTTCCTATAGACGGCAATGTGACTTTTGGGTGGGGTTCAGACAGAAGAGTAAATACTACTACTCCTTTGACGGCCTGTGCTTCACGTTGTCGTCCATTCAACCGTTTGCTCAGTAAGTAGTGCTGCAGTTTGACTTCAACCTGGCAAAACCACGGGAAAGCTGCGCTTTGTACAAGGAGCTCTAGTGTGAGCTCTCTTTTTGTGCACTCAACTCTCAGCTGACTGAGGTCGACCGCCTTAGGAGTGTCACTCCAAGTTTCACCCGATACGTGGAGGACAAGCCATCGTAGAATCATCCATGTCCGGCTGTCCTTTTGGGCCAAATCAAGGATGAATTCTGAATTGGTCTCCAAATCCCCACATTTAGCATGGCATGGCATAGCAAGAAGATGCAAGAAGTCACTTTTCAAATCTTTTAAATCTGCTGATGGCAACTGCAGAGCAGTGCTCAGGTGTCGACGGAGTGGGTATGGGCGGCATGGTCAGCGGACTGGATCTGGCGCGGCTGCCAGCCAGGCTACTGCGACTGTCCAGGCCTTGACATGTCAATGCTGCCAAAACCGCTGGGTAACGAAGAGGACATGAAGAAATGCCGCTTGAAACGCGGCCTGTCGCTTTGTCGGCCGCCCACACTTTCAAAACTGCTGAACATGTCATAACCTGCATTAATGCATGGTTGTCGCCTTTGACAGGGCTGATCACTTTTCCTTCTTTTCCAGGATTCAAACCGATCCTATATCCCACCACCGCTCTCTACTTAATTGGTCATCGCTGCTTTTAGTGGTTGCTTTTTTGATGGTGATTAAAAGGGAAAAACTAGAAGCCTGGCATCATAAGAGTATGTGCAGCCAGTGGGCACTTTGATTGCACCTTACGGAAGCACATGGCCCTGAGATGCAAACGTTCCTCTCTGGTCAAGGAGTCGACGATTGCACCTTTGCAACCATGTGCAACAAAAACCTAGATGAGTGGATTGGCAGGATCAGAGTGCTGAGAAGCGGCCTGATGAGATGGGTGCTGCATTTGTCTGTCCAAAGATGTCTGCTCTATCAAAGCTGACCGGTCCATGTTCCAGAGATTCGTGCACCTGCCACAGGGCACAAAGTTGAGCTTTCTTGCATACCTTTGAGTTCAGCTGCTTCGCCAATCTGTTTCATCAGTGTGACCAATCTTGGCTGCCCCTTCTTTCTCACCATGTTCATGCCACTTCCCATGTTTCCATATGTTTCCCTGTAACCAGACTCCGACCTGACTCCCACCATGTTCCTCATGCCACTTCTCCAGACTCCCCACCTGACTCAGTCAAGCCTCATGCCACTCCGCTCCTCCCCACATCTCCCCACCTGCAAGAGCATCTTTTCTCGGACACCTAAGAGGTCCGATCTGTTGTAGGTCTTTCGCCTCACCGAGCCGCGAGCGGTCAGCCGTGAGCCGCGGCGTGCGTCTCGGTGAGGCGCGGACGCAAAGACCACCGGAGCCGGGGAGTACTGGAGGCAAGCCATCTTGAAGCCTGTCAAGTAGTGGGTCCAAAGTCGGTCAAGCCATCCTTCAAGAGATTTGACCAAAGAAGATTAAAGAAGTCTGGGCAAAGTGTGGTCAAAATCTGTGACCCTGGTGTGGTCAAAGTGTGGTCAAAGAAATCTGGGCACCGTGATCGCACTGAGATTTCGTAACACGTGTCTTTTGCGGGGAGCAAAAGAGAGCATTGGCTGTCAATGTCATCGCATGCACAATCTTCGAGGTCCCAATCTTCAGATTCTTACATCTCTGACATCTCTCCAGTGACATCTCACCCTTACGGCTGGGGTTTTCTTTTTCTCCATGCACACAAATTGGTCTCTGTCTGTGCTCGGTCTCTGTGCTTCCACCGCTTGCCCCTCCTGAAAGAACCGTTTGCGCTTTGCCGCAGCAGCTCAAACAGCGCTCATCCACATTGATGACTGTCTGACCATCTGCCTGTGCCAACATTCCCTCCCAAGTAACCCTGGGCCCGAACTTTTTCAATGACGCTGTGGAAGCTGTTCAAATCCCAGAAATCCGTCCCAACCTTCACCCAATCTACAAAAATGCTCTGTTCGTTGAAGGCCACCCTTGTTCGTTGGCCACGGCCTGCTCAGCTGGTTGGGGCGAAGAAGCTCGACTTCTCCGGGTCCTTCCTCCTGCGGAGTGCGCTAAGCAGCAGAACCAAACATGGGGACGTCCGTGGACACATGACCAAACCACAACTGATTCACCACGCAGTGTCACTGAACGGACAGAAGCTTATACCAATGGCCTCCTCTAGTCTTCTCCGATGTCTCCTCCTGCACAGTATTGGGATGGTATCACAAATGCTATACCCAGATAAAGGTCAAAATCTTGCTCAGTTCAAAATGCCTTCAGCCAATCTGCGCATGGCCCCATGGCCTTATAGCCCATCAGCGCAATTTTGGCCCGATCTTGATCGTCTTGGAGGTCAAGCCTTGGTTGGGCACAGTCTACAGTTCAGTGTGGTCTTCGAATAGTAATAAACAACACTCTTGAGTTGCGGTTGGAGTGAGCGAAGACTCTTAATTGAGAATACCAGCTCACATAATATGCTATGCAAAGAACGCTGATGCCGCCCTCTCGCATTGCACCTTAGATACCATCTCTGCATGTGGGATGCGACTCCTTCTCTCTTCCGCATGCGACCACAAACGCCCCCGACGGGAGGCTACGGGGAGAAGTGGTATGCGTGGAAGAAACGACTGAAAACGCAGTCTCAGCTGAGGTGTTCTTTGCACGAGGTGTCGTCTGAGTCCTGCGCCATTGTCCACATCACCCTGCTGAGGTGTTCCAAGCTGTTAGCCACATGTTGAGAGGATTCTTGCCTTAAAAGGCAACAGACATAGCCAACATGTTGAGAAGATTCTCTCAAGACATAGCCACATTGCCAATCCAAGCTGTTAGCCACATGTTAAAAGCAACAGACATAGCCAATCATAAGAATTGTGCTTCGATTGCTGGAAAGAACACCTCACATCTCGCAGCTGCCTTGGACTCCGTCTGGGATCATGGCACGATTGCAAGTTGCTTGGCAACGCCTTTGATCTCCACCTAGCAAAGAGGGCCAATCTGTGTCTCCGTTGGTCAAGGTTAATTACAAGGTGTGTTCAACGCATTGCTTGCTCAGGTTGCAGCTTTTCCCAAAAAGGCCTTGACCCTGATACCACTACACCCACCATCCACCATGCCATCCGCCATCGATTTCTGGATTCGATATGCTTACCAGGTCTAAACTGAGTGCTTCCATTCCATGCGAACCAGCCATCCAAAGCCGTGGCTCCAACCCACTTCGGTGGCCTCTTGGCTATTGCGATCCCGTCTTCTCAGCTTCCCTCGGAGAAGAGGGGGCTTCCCAGCCGAGTGGGTGACACACGAACCGCAGGCTTGCCAGGCTTGGGTGACCAAATGTTCAGCTTGAAAAAAGGATTAAAAAGGACATATTTGGTCAACAGGCTCTCATCTATGACCTAAATATGTCGTCCAGCTCGATTGAAAAGCGTGAACACGTGTGAACACACATGAACACACATAGGTTCGCTTGGTTGCTGGCCAACCTCTTCCACCTCTGATGTCACCTCGAAAGCAGGTTGGTCAAGTCGAACAGAAACGCCAAGGGTGCAAATCGCAAACTCAACAAACGCAATGTGAAAGGCAGGTGAAGTTGTTTCTTTCTTGTTCTTCTCCTCTTTTCTGTTCTTTCTTCTCCCTTCTCTCTTCTCCCTTTTCATCTGTCTCCTTTCTCACTTTTCGCTTTTCTTCCCTTTTATATATCTGTTCTTCTTTTTTTTCTTTGTGTCTTTTATATGTCCTTGCAAACCTTGCTTCCTTGCTTCCTTCTCCCTCTCCCTCTCCCTCTCCCTCTCCCTATCCCTCTCCTTCTTTCCCTCTCCCTCTCCCTCTCTCTTTCTGGTTCTGGCTCTGGCTCTGGCTCTGGCTCTGGCCCTGGCCCTGGCCCTGGCCCTCCCTCCCTCTCTCTCTCTCGCTCGCTCGCTTGCTCGGTTTCTTTCTTTCTTTCTTTCTGCCCTCCCTTCCCTTCCCTTCCCTTCCCTTCCCTTCCCTTCCCTTCCTTTCTCAAGCGTGGGGTTTAGTCAGCGCATCTGATCAACTGCAGCAGGCCTGTCTCACCAAGTCTTCTGTTTGTGCCTGTGAAGCACCTGCCACGATGAAACCCATCGGAACTGTGTGCAGCTCTTCAGAGGCAAACAGGCCAATGCCGCAAATGCTTTCCTCCAAGGCTCGCCGATACTCACCTGGGATAGTTGCAGAGGCTCAAAGGATGCAGCAAAGTGGGCACGCTGTGCAGCAAATCGCAGGATCTCTCATAAGGCAGGCTCGCTCAGACTGCATAAATTCGTCAACCTGCACGACTGACGATCGAAGCATCAAACACCATCTCTCCAAAACAGCATGGATACATCAAACAGATCTCTAGACCGAATCTACTCTTCATGTCTTTCTTCACTGTGCCTTCTGTCGCACTTGAGCAGCCTCATGTAGCCTGGGCAATTCACAGGCTGTTTCTGACCAAAAATTCCGCGGTGTGGCCCTGGGCACGGCACTCCTCCTGGTACGCTGTTCTCACCTTGCAACATGTGAACATATTTCAAGAAACAGCCGATAGATACCCTGTGCCAAAATAAGAAAACAATATATTGTTGGGAAAGAATGTCGTGTATACCATGTCTTTCAGGGTCATTCAGCTCGTTTCTGGTTCATGGTGTCCCTTCCACTAAGCTCGCACTTGGGTACCTTGGCATGATAAAGGAGAACCATGAGAAGACCACAAACACAGAAAGAGACATATATGATAATATATGGGTGAATTGGGAGGTGAGTTCATCGTCCGCGGCGATCGCGCTTTCGATCACGCGTACTCGAATCTTCTTCGCCTCTTGCAGCATCGCAGCATTGTGCGCTGCTACGGTATTGGTGGCCGTTTGAAAGTGCTCTTTCATGTCGCTCATCATCCTCACCACTTCTGATACTCAATGTACCATACAGTAGTACATGGCTTTTCAGGCCTCCGGATCAAGTGACTGCGCAATGTTCGCAAGTTCGCGTCTTTCCCAAGTCCTGTCAACCGTCTGCTGCAAGGCGGTCACATTGTTGCTGGTCTCCAGAGTAAAGTTGTTGACCTTCGACAAGGGTGGGTCCAACTTCTTGGTTCAAATACCAACCAAACGGCGAAACCAAAAACAGGTCGTCACTGACCTCCTCCTGAACCTTTTCCAGCTGGGCGATGCTTGCCTGAGGCATGGATAGGATTGGATAGGCGGGCAAATGCCTCTGTGACAGATTGGCGATATCAGGGACCTTTTTTTGTATTGAACAAGGGACTGAAAAGGCACCTGTCAAATCAAACATATCATGAGGACCCACACACACACATATATATATATATACAATTATATACATATATGTATATACATGCACAAATCTCATCAAATCCCAGTGACCTGAAAGAAGAACCAAATTTCCACATGCTCTCAGTAACAAAGGAACTGTCCATGGGCGAAAGAAGGAAGCCCTACAGTAATGTCATACGCATATAACATCATACAACATACAACTACAACTATGCAGTATATTAATGCACGTATCACGTATATGATGCTTTCCAGATGTTTGGAGGGTTCGGGCATTTTCTGGCAAACGAAGGAGCAAATCTCTCCCTGGCCAGGCTGACTCGCGCCTTGATATGCTTCATAGAGCTGAACTCGGTGCTCATGCTGGTGACCTGAGGATGGGCAGGTGAGCGAATTCAACCCTGTCTGCCGATGGTGAATCCTGTTGAGATGGCTGAGATTATGATTCTTGGATACAAACCTGTGGTTCTTTGGGTGTGTGTGTGTGTAAGCTTAAAGCATCTTAAAGCTCTGGTGAATGCCAAACAAGCTTCGTCCAAAGAACCTATATATTCAATCAGATTTGGTCTGCTCATGTGTTAAGAAAGGGCACCTTAGCCGCCAACGACCTCATTTGTGCGTGATAGGTCATGCATCACCTTTGCAAGACCTCAAGAGTCTTGAGAGCTCGACAAATCAGCTGTGCCAGAGTTGCGACACAGAAAAACTACACACACACCCCGCCTGTCTCTTCACTCCACAGGTCATCACTGAGCTTGTTGTATCTATTTTCCACACTCACCAGCTTCACCTGGAAACCATACCGCCATCGCAAGAAAAGACTGAAGACCTCTTTTTTTCCTGGACCTATAGTAGGAAGTTGATTTTGTCTTCAACCATGCCTCCAAGTCTGTCTTGAAGACATTCAGCATCTTGTTCTGCTGGCACAGGCGCTTGTTCGTGTCTGCTCTGAGCCTGAGCCAAGCGAGCTCGGCAGCTCATTCGGTCGAGCTCGGTCGTTCTGATCCAAGACCGATTCGATCCGCTTCGTGCTCCTTCGATCATGTTCCAAATAAAAGGATATAAAAGGTTCTTCCATCCTTCCAAGGGACGGCTTTATTTCTGTGTCTTTGCTTGATGCATGTCATGTTTTGATTCAGATCAAATGCGACTTCTTGCATCTTCTTGCATAGGGAAGAGTGCAACTTACACGGTGTAGTTCCGTTGGGTCCATGTCAAACATGTGTTTTCTACAGACCCTCTGAGTGCAACACGCATCGCCAATGTCCTGCACTCGGCCTCATCGGTTGGCCGAGGCGGTCTCGCTGGCTGAGGCTGCAGCAAGCTGCATCGTTCGCCTAGTTCTCCCACCACTCGATCCACAGTGCGTTGGGCACCCTGAACGTATGCATCCATACCTGAGTTTCGTGACGTTTTTCGAATCACACCCAGGAAGCGCTCCAAAAAGAAGGTTGGTATTGGTCCATAAGCAGCTGAGTGTGTTGCGTTCCAACTCATACCGGAAGACATCAAGGTCCTAGACAGAACATACGAAGGCTCTACACGAAGGTCGAAGGTCCTGGACGTGCATGGTGTGAAGTTGTTTCTGCAAGCCAGCCAGCAAGAAGCCACAGCACCTTTTTCAGCTGAAGGCGCACTCCAGTCTGCCACTATGTCCCAGGCTTCTGTTCTGTGTGCCTTTGCCCACACCTGCAAGTTGCAAAGGATTGGTCTGCAACGGCAACAGAACAGTGACAAGGCCACGATGCAGGATTCGGCCGGCCTCCTGCAAACAATGGTGTTGAAGAATTGGGTCCAGAACCACCTTCGTTTGCCGAAATGCGCAAGAAAGGTGCTCTGTTGATTTCATGATTATTCTGCGCAAATGCCACGTGGTCTCAAATCGGCCCCAAACCAATGGGCTGTCATCTGAGGGATTGTCAAAACTATGAGTAGCTGGGTGAGAATGCCGAACCATATCAACCAACAAGGCATCTTCTTACTCTCAGGCACCTACTTGTCCTATGTGATTGCGGTAGTCTCTCTAACCAGAGGTGGAATGGCTAAAAAGAACACAGGCCACAGCGGGCGTGGGGGGCACAGCGGCCACATACTTGTTATTGAGCTTATGACATCTTATGACATGATGGTTTGATATCTCCAAAATAGCGAGACCCCCTAACCAGACTCCAAACCTAGGACCCCTAGGACCCATCCGACTGGTGGAATCAATGAGACTTGGAGGTGTATCCTCATCCAACGTCCTCAAAAGAGCAAATGACCTGCTTGGGTCTTCGCATTCTGAAGTATCATCGACCGTCTCCCACCCTTCATTTTCCTTTGATCGGCTGGCCTGCAAGGTATCCTCCATCACAGCAGTCCGAGCAGCAGTGGCTGACGGATTGCCTGCCAACGAGATCTCCGGCGTGTGAAGGCTGGCATGTTGGCGCACAAAGATTTGAGGAGACCAGCTTCTCTCTGTTCTGGCGATCACTGAAAAACTCATGAATCTTCATTCACCTCCTGAATGACACATCCCAAAAAGCCACCCAAAATCCATGTTTGGCCCGACATACAAAAGTCTCGCCATGTCTCGCCCACTCTTGTGGTCCCTCCCCTCGGCCTTTGATGGGCAGCAAGGCCGGTCCCTGGTTCATCTCCAGCAGCCAAGGTCGAAAGGATTGGTCCACCAAAATGTCTGCTCCCAAGAGTTCGAAGCTCACTGGTCCTCGAAGCGTTCGAGGCTTCGAGAAGTGGATGGGAAAAAGTGGAGGAAAAAGGTCTGTATCGAAGGGAGTCTTTGATCAGAACATGTCAGAAATTCTGCAGCGATGAGCAGAAATGATGTGAGAGAAATGGCTTGAAGCTTTCAGGCCTTCTTGCTCATCTTCAGCCAAAGCAAAGCGTTCAAGGAAGGGACTGAGGCAAGCCTCCAAACTGTCTCCCAATAGTCATTTCGCACAATTTGGATCTCACAAGTATATACAGTATACAGGACACCATAAAACCAAATGCTTTCATAAACGTTAAACACCCCCTGGACGTTGTTATGTTTTATTTTGCCTCTAATTGTTATTTTCTCGACATACTCAAAATGACCCTGCCTGAAACATCCTCATGACCTCCGGCCAAATGGTCTTTGAGTGAGGCCATGCGCAGCTGCTGATCCCATGAACCTCTTTAAACACATCCAGCGTGGAGTGCACATGCCGAGCAGGATCTGGATCTGTGGCATCATAGCAAAGGGGATGTGATCTGCAAACAAAATCACGACGCACAAGGGCAAGGACCCTGCGAGAACTTTGATTAAATAGCAGTAGTATGTATATTCTGAGCGTGACTTTTCGACCGTCGTGATCCAGAAGAACTCCAGCAACCTCTTGCTGCGCAACATACTCGTCCTGCTCCTCTGGAGGCAAATTGGTCCACGCAGTGTGACAGGCTTGAGCCCCCAAGTGAACGCTGACCCCCTCATTGCGTTCACGGCAGGCATGCTTCAGAAAAAACAATTGATCGGTCTTGCCGGCGGCGAGCACGTCATTTGGCTTGAGAAAAGTTCTTGGAGCCCAACTGCTTGCGCCTGCCACTTCCAAGTACAAAGCAAGCTGCTTCTTGTTTCCCAGTTCTCGACAAGTGCTGATCCGACGAAGCTCGATGACTCCCCGGTGCTTGGCTTCCACATCGACGGCGCCAGGCCCGCCAGGCCCGCTCGCTGGCGGCTTTGGACGGTGACGTTGAGAGGGTGGTCCGCCACGGGGACGCCAGGCACTCAGCAATGCCTGCTCTCCAGATTTTGCAAATGTAAGGCCTCTCTTCGAAAGCAAAGCCGGCAAAGCCCAGGGAGCATTGGAGTGAAAAGTCAGGCCAACCTCTGCCAGTGCCAAGCAAGGCTCATGCTTACAGGAGACCTTGCAGTCAACAGGCATCGCTTAAAGCAAAGGCTTACAGTATAATTGAAAAATTATATTCCAAAAACTCCTTAAGAATAAACAAAACCTTGATGAAGCCCACTATGCCGGTGGTCTCAATATGTTTCTTGACATCCACATGAAGTTGCAAGTCGCAGTCGTTGTTGACGTGCTTTTTGCCCAGTGACGGAGAAAGTCATTTCGCAGGTTCCATGCCAAGAGATGCTCCACCATGTATGCCTACTGTGATCTACTGTGCCAGTTTGTGCCTCAAGCTCTTCCTGAGACACAAATGGCCCAAACAAAGCCAACGCTTGAGCAAAGATTGAGAGGCAAGGATTGGAATGGATTGCAAGTCGACATGGGGCATCAAATGGCTCAGTTGAAACTTGGGGGTGAAAAGGCAATCAAGATGGAACCTCCTCAAAAAAGAAACACAGCATTCCCATAGGTTATTCGGCCTTCCTATCGCCATCTCTCCCTGCCATGCTTTCCATCTCTCCGACTCCTGCTTCATGCAGCTCAAGGAGTCCGTCGCCGTGGCTTGCCATTGCCTCGCGGTTTCTGGGCAGCGGATAAAGCCCCACTCTGGCACTCACTTCCATGTAAATCACACCCTTCCGAAACTCGGATTGTTAAGAGCGGGGGGGAGCCACCCAAACGTCAGACCTCTTTTGTTTGAACCCTCAGTGTATCTAACAATTGACTTCTAGGGTTTTCAGGCAAAACTCATGTCTGAGATCTGAGATCGGGGCTTTCGTTCAGAATCATACTTTGCCAACTCTGATCGGAAGTTCTCGATGTTCGCCACCTGCAGAATATCTGACCTTTTTGCTTTATTGCAAGGTCGTTGAACCATCATTTTTCACCACTAGTGCTGTGGCAAGAACAACAGTTACATTGCCGCCTTACTACCTCGGGGGGGAGCACTTATAGAGTATCAGTCAGTATCAGTATCAGTATCAGTATAATATTTAAAAGATCTGTAACACATATTTTGTTTAAAGATGTTTAAAGCAAGTTGGAGTCGAGTGCACAAAAGGCCTGCTGCTCAACTTTGCCAGCAGTCAGCCTCAGAGTTGCGTGGCTACAAGACCACTTGAGTGCAGTCTGCACTGTCTGCACTGACCCACGAAAGGACCAGTCTCTTGACAATCAGAGACAGGAATTCAGTGGGAGGTAACAGTCCCACTGGGAGTCTTGGGCTTCGCGCAACAAATCAGAGATATGGGTGGACTTGATCTGAAGGTCTTCCTCCATCCAATCAAGATTCAGGAGAACACTCAGCTGAAGCATCTGAGCAAAATGAACATGGTGAAGGATGGATTGCATGACATGATCGGGCCAAGGCTTCCAAGGGGCCTGGATCTTCACCACCTCTTTCTCCAAGGCCTTTCTTGTCAGTATGCTTCACGCCACTTGGGTGGCTGGGGTGACTGGGGCATGCTCTTCTCCTCTAGGACCCCGGCAGCTGTTCTCCGGACCGTAGGCCCAATGATGTCGAGGCAATGCCTAGCCAGCAACTCAACAAGTCAAAGCCTCAAAATGGATCCGTTTGCGAAGACTGAGCTTCTCGCTGTCGAAGTCGAACCTGCCAATACAATGGGGAGTGGATCCAGAGCTAGTTCCATGGGATGACTCATATTGTGATGAGAAATGGCCGACTTTCTGGCTTTCTCCCGGGATTGAGCTCTCACCCAGCGAGCTGGCAGCTAAACACAAGCTGGTCAGTTTCTGATGCTTGAAGGCTCAAAACTGACCACGTGCGTCACGATTCGCAACTTGTTAACCTATCAAGAAAACTATACTGCTCTAGACCAGCAAAGAGACTGGTCGACAGAATCAATTCATTCCGCCTCCAAGGACGCCATTTGCACCTCATGTTCACCTGGGCCCAGAATCTACGACTTTTTGATATGCCTACCCCCGGCATGAGCAACGAAATTTGCCCATGCGATCTCATTGCCTTCTTTCCTTTTGGCCGAGTTGTAGACAGTGTGTCTAAATATGTTCATGTGTCTAATACATATGAATTATACTTACAAATGCCGTCTTTGTGTGCGCTTTTTTGTTTTATGCCATCATGAGATATGCATAGATATGCCAGCCTTGCCAATATCTAGGTTCCCCAACTCTGTGAGATGCTTCCTGGCAATGGTGTAAAGCCTTGGTATTTTGCGGATGTTCGTTCCTGCGGCCACGGTCTGAACGGATGTTCTGTTCGGCATCGCAAGGTATCGACAGAGGTTTGACTCTGAGTCTATGGATTTCTTGCGCTTTTCGCCCAATGGCCCGGTGCATGGTCCGTCTCGAAATGAACGAGCACCCTAAAATGGAGAGACTTGATGGTGCTTGATTAACCCCTGGTGTCTCACAGTCGCTTGACCAAGAATTCACCTCTGCTCTCACTTACTGACCAAATCCTGCCAAAAAGTTGCGAGGTGAGACGGTGAGACTTGGGGGGGAGCGAATCAGCAAGCAAAAAACGGCCTTTGTTTGGGCAAGGCCATGGAATCATCAATGTTGTTAAGCGAATTCGGATGACTTTCCCAGCGTCTTGCCCCACCGGCAAACTGTCCTAGACTTTAAAAACTGGCTTACAATACATTGGCTTACATTCTGTCCTTATCTGCTGCCACAATGCCCAACTTTACGTGGATAGAACGGCATCAAACTGGACTTCAAAAGGATGAAAAAGGCATCTCTTGCATCTCTTGCGACACTCGTCTATTTTGCTGACACCATCTGACACAACGTTTCCTTGGTGCCATGGGCCGCCGCGCTTGGAACTTGAGCTGCTTCCGCCAGCATTTTCTCATAGTCCTCGGTGTGGGAACACCCCGAGTGAACTCTCGCCTCGGGCCACCCGTTCGGGGCCCGGAACTTCGCAGGGAGCGATCGGGCCACTCGGTGTTTCCCCACTCTCCCGGAGACGGGTGCCACGTTCCGAGCTCGGTACCACGGACTCGCCGAGATCCACACCTCGGCGACGGCGAGGGCAGGCCCCCCACCGAGCGGGAGGCTGTGGGGGGGAGACAAAGACAAGATGTTTCTGGCCTGAAAAGAGGTGTTTGCCATGATAGAAAAGAGGATAGAAGAGGTGGAATATGGTTTTTTAATGAATACTGATGACATATGATGACATGAGATGACATGTGACATAAATCTTGTACAGCGACCAAACCCAGAAAGGGTCTTCAGTTCGTGGTCTTGCCTCCTCTCTTACACAAGCCCACCTATCCACCTATATTATCCTATAAATACATATATATATATATACATACATATCCATTCCTATTGTGTGTAAATATTATAGATGCCTTCGAACCGAGAACCTGACTTCGGCGTGTCTGCGCCGCATGTGTTGCCTCATCCTCTCCGCCCATGGCTCCGAACGGAGTGTCGAACGGAGTGTCTCCACGACCAAATGCTGGCTCGTTTTCTGTTCAAAGGCTCGTGACCTCCTGCTGATATTGACCAAGAAGGTCAAGTGTTGACTCTGGTGCTCTTGTTGAAATGCACCAAAGGCAATCCCTTTGCAAATGTCTACGAATGTGGGGCAGTGTTCGTAGGAGCTTCTTTGCAGTTCCCATGCCTTATTACTGCTCAAGGTTGCCCACCTTGTGTTCAGCCAGATGTCCACTCTTTGTTTTGTGGAAACTTAGGTCGGAAACAAGAAACCTCCCAATGATATTGGTCGCACCTGGATGTCAGGTCTCAGCTGATATTGACCTGGCTACAAAATGCTACGGCTGTTTGGGCTCGACAAAGCTTCTGATCACCGGGTGAAGGCGAATCGTCTGACACCTAAAAATCCTTGAGATGTCCCTCTTTGCCAAAAAAGCTGCAAATCTTGGACATATTGAAGACAAAGGGTCTGTTGGTGCCTCTGTTTTTGCAACAGATTTCGTTACACTAAGTCTGTTGCAATGTTGCAATACGTCATGAAGTTCTACGGGCTAGACGTGTGTCTCACTCGCACGCACTTTTCTCCACTGCCACAAGAGTTTTCAGCAAAGGAAGGCGCGAGTGGCCTCAGCAGCATTGCGAGATGCTGGACGAACAGAAGCAAAGGACAAGGATGGACAAGGCCCAGAGAGGCAAACAGGCCGTTCGATACCGATCTTCTGCTAAGACCCTTGTGTTCCAGCAGGGGGGGTCTGTTGATGGCAAACTTTTTGCTCCGCATGCAGCAACGAAGCCCATTGGAACAGGTGGCCATGAGCAAGTGGGTCTGACTGGCTGATCCCCACCCAAGCTCATAATGGACATATGCCGTCTAATATTTTCTTAAGGTAGTTCTCTCTGGCAGAATCCAAGTTCTGCCGAACAAATGTTTCATGACAGTTTGGATAACATCAACCCCGAGCAAATAGAGATCAAGGAAAATGACTACCGAATGATCGCGAGGTGACTGAAATACTTGCCGATCGTCCGATCGTCGAAAAAGATCAAGCAAAGCTAGACACGCCGTCTACCCAGAAAACGAAGATGGGTTAAGATGGTTAAGGATGTGCTCTTACCATATGATGGTTGGATACCTTCGATCCGCAAGCATCTCAACGACGCAAGGGATGCACTCTGTATAGGAGCAACTTGCAGGTCGTGCATCTCCTTGCTGACATCTCTAGACTCACAGTCACTCTGCTCACTCAGTTGCCAATCTCTCATTCTCGCTGACGTCAGGGTCATTCACTGGCTTGGCACCTTCCTCAGACCCAGAAACTGGTGCCCCGGAAGCTTCTGGCACTCCATCAATATCCGCATTTTCATCCTCCTCGTGAGCCGCCAAAGTGGCTTCCGGCACGTGAGCGGCTGCTGGCTGACCATTCACCTCGGACACTTGATCATTCATGCTGGCCGGCGGCATTCCAACGTAGACGTAGATGAACTCGACATCAAGTGCCCGAGGGCGTCGAACCGGTGGCGCTTCTCGGAGAAAGCACATCAACACCTGCGCCAGCTCGTTCTGCAGGGACTCGGAACTTTCATGGCCAGAGCGGCCATGTGGTTGGTTGCAGTTGGAGCCACGGGTGCAGCTATCCGACACATGGTGGAAACATCTTGAGTTGTCTTCAAGGAAGACTTGAAAGACCTTCCACCACTGTCCATTGTGCCAAATGATGTAGTTCTGACCGCATTGAATACAATGACCAACGATATGTTGCATTCTTGTGACATTCGTCTCAAAGTAGTGCTGGCCATCTGATCCAATGAAGCACATCAACCGTGCGTGGTGCACACGGTTCCTTGGGGCACATGTTGTGTGAGGCGAAAGAATCGAACAAAGGGTGTGCAAGAACAATGGCACACCCACTCCACCCCACTTGTTACAACCCAAAAGAATTAAGTCTTGTTGGGACCAAAAACTACACAAATGTGCATACAAGACAAGAATCAAATGGCACCACGCTCGGTAGCACCGATCTTCTTCATGGAAGCCGTTGAAGGTGGAGGGAGGTTCGGGCTGTCCACCACCGAGGATTATGATGGGTGGGCCACCTGATGTGCTGCAAGCCGCCACAACACATACTTCTGCTCCCCTTTTCGGTCTGCTTCGCGTCTTCTTGGACTGAGGAGGATCTGCGCTCGAGTCTCCAGCTGTGGAGTGCGTGCATCCGGTCAGGTGGAGAAGTCGAAGGTAGCAGCCTACAGGATACAACTCCTGCACTGGCTGCACAGGGGGCGCAAGCGAACCAGCAGCATTGGTAGCATCAGAACCGGCTTGACCAACAGAACTGCCAGCCATCGCACTGCCGGAACTGGATGAAGCGGCCTGTGGGTCCCTGCCTTCTTCGTTCTGCCGTTGTTCCTCCTCGAGCCTGGATTGTGCCATTGCTTGGGCCATTTCAGCTTCAAACGACTTCTTCTCGAACTCGGCACGCGCATCGAAGAAGTCCACACTGGAACAAGGGCTGTTCACCGGGGTACCAATCACTGCTTCCGATTCGTTGACCTCATTCGCCAGGTTTAACAAGGTCAAAGTGCTTGGCAAGTTCTGTTCTGAGTTGGCATCCGGTTCTTCATCCATTGCCCAACAAGAAGGGCTGCAAAGCACGAGAGCGATCCAAGACCACAATGGGACAATCATGGCTCTCTAGGGAGATCCTGCACGGGGTCCAAGCCTGAGCCAAGCCTGCGCCCTTGTCAAGTTACGCATGTCCGTGAGTCTCAAAGGGCACCAAATTGATTGAAGCATATTGAATATTGAACAGGTTTGGCCCAATATGTCAGGTTTAAAGCTTACAGCGATTCTCGTCTGGGCAGCACAGCTATTCCGGCTATTCGGCTATTCCCTTGGGCTCCGGCCATGCCGATGCAACGCCAACTGTGTCATGAACGATGGGAGCTACAACGATCTGTGATAGGCATGCTTGCAACCTACTGCAGCTCTTTTGCAAATGGCTTTTTTTCTAATTGCTCGGACTGTGGTTCACCTGCAGTAGAACTGTGACTGGTGCAACTGGAGTTCCTTGCATTGGCGTGCTTTTGGAGGTGATCAACACGTCATGAGTGACGTGAGACTGCAACAATGTCCTGAAGTTGGTAGTGTGATTGTATGTGTTTTAGATAATATGCCACTGACACTTTTGATCACTTTTAGAGTATGGGAAACATCCTTACGCTTTGAGCTTTGGAGCTGGCGATCAAGCCGATGATGAAGCGCAGCCATGTTTTCATCCGCCATTCGGTAGCACAATGACTTCAACCATCTTCTGTCATATGCTGATCACGAGTTGGTCACATCCAAACAAGGCAGAAAATAAAAATACAAGACTTGTTTGGATGTGCCCGGCCCACCTGGGAACTTCTCGGGCACAACTGGCCACTCGGGCCGCGTGGAGATGCTCGTCCCTTTTCGTCCAAGCGTTGCGTCATCCAGCGACGCTGCTCCGCGGGCTCCGTGGGCCACTCCCAGAAGTTCACCTGTTCAACGGAGTCCCAACGGAGTCGATTCCAACGACCGAGACTGGTGAAGACCAGCCACAAAGACTACTCTTGACAAGAATAAGACACGCCATCTCAAAACGGGATGCAGTAGACATCAGGATTGTAAGCTCAAAAGCAATTGTCACTATCTCAAAGCCATGTTTGTTCTTCCAAGCACTGCATTACACTATAATGATAAATGCAGCATCAGCAGATGCATACTTGCCTTCAAAGACATCTCAACACGGTGTGTTAAAGAAATACACAAAATGCTCAACCCTGATGTTTGCGACTCTTGTTGCAAACGCACCTCACACACCTTTGCCCCTGACGCAGCCAATGCAGCGGTGCGCAGGCCGCAGGATGCTAAAGGCTCTTGAGTGCCAGCATAGAAGCCTCAAATGAGTCGCAACTCTGGCAAAACTGCGGCATCACTTGGGTGCACAACGCTACAGAGACCTGTGCAGATAGATCAAAAACCAGACCAAACGCCATCTTGGCAGGGTCCTCCGTTTTGCCATGTTGATCATCTTCATACATCCCCTGATGTGGAAAAAATGGCAGCCCCGATTGAACCAAGCGTCGTTCTGGGCCATTCACATTGATGGCTACCAGCTGCGATTGGAAACGCACAACGAGGTCAGCTCGAAAGCCTTGCACTGGCCACGCGGCCAAGAGCTCGACCTGAACATGATACTTCACGATGCTGGGTTTGTGGCTAAAATAGCCTCAAGATGCTTAGCATCAGGATGTTCTTTCTTTAGAGTCTTCTGTTTTGTGTGCCTTCAGCTCATCTCCGTCACGCGTACACTTTTTTTGAACAGCTGGTCCGTTTGATATCTCTACTACTGTAGTGGTCTATCGTTTTATCATGTTGTATCGTTGATCGATCTGATGAAGTGGTGGTTCATTTCAACAGCGGGCGGCAAAGTTGGCCCACTTCTGGCCTCAGAGGGTTCCATGGAAGCAAAGACTGATCGCAAGAGTCCTCGGTCTACTGGTGGCACCAAGTCATGCTGTGGCCCATTGGCAGCAGAGAAGACCTGGCTCGACGGCTAGTCATTGAGTCACGGAGCTCATTCAGTGGAGCGCTTAAAGAGCTATCTACAAAGTTGCACCACATGCTTGCTGTTCGTACGAGGCGAATTCTGAGACAATGAGTTCTCCCCCAAGCCGACTAAAAGCATGTTGCCTACCAAAGATGCTAGGCAAGGTGAACTCATATGAACTCTATAAACACAACGCTTGAGGCTTAAGTCTATCCTTGTGAGTCACCCCATGTCGCCTCCTCAGCCCAGTCTGCCAACCACATGGCATCGCCAGGATTCTGCACCTGTCAAATCCGCTGCACGAGCAAGCGCGCCATGGAAACCACCGTCTGGGACGCCTACGCGCATGGTTTAAGTGTGCTAATTTACGCTAAAGGTTTTAAGATCTTTAACGCGTAAAGAGGTCTTGGCCTTCATGAACTCAGTCTCTGGTGAGATACCCATCTCATGCTGTACTCTAGAGGTCTTGCATACCCTGTCAGTTTAGGCTATAGTTGTTTAACCTCGGCCTCGTGTCGAAGCCAAGCATGGCTCGCAGCTGAGATTTCACTGGCACACTTCAGTTGAAGAGTGGAATCCATCGATGCATTCGAGGAAGCAACCAAGCTTTCACAGTGAACTTTCGCTGCTTGAAGCAAGGAGTTCACCGTGCTCTCGGAAAGGTGGGCAAAGTCTAGCAAAGCTGCAGCAAAGAGGTCTGCCGCTAGGGCCGGCAAGGTCCGTTGCCAGCCACGGGATGAGGTGAAGCTCTGGTCGATGATGAGCATCAGCGACTTCACCGGATGTCCCACTGGTGCCATGCCCCGCAAGAGTCGTCCCGCCAAGACCGGAGAAGCGACGCCGCGGCCGGAGCTGTCGCCGGTGGACCCCGCCCCGGTGGACACCGAAGCGGCCGCGTCGAGCGCGGCGGAGAGGTCGGAGTCCAGACGCAAACGCAGCTGGGCGTGCATGGAGAGCAAGGCCGCGGCGGTTCTCAAACGGAGTGCCTTTTGGGCAAAGAGTTCCAAACACAGGGGCCGAAGTGCAGCCAGCAACCCTGGCAGACCTTCGAAATCGATGAGAAACACCTTCAAGGATGCTTCTGAAATCCGCTCCAGAGCAGCTGCAGCGCTGTTGAGTTTTGCTTCATATGAAGCATCTCTGGCTTGCTTGTTGGCTGCCAAATCTGCAAGCTCTTCCTTTGCAACTTCTGAGAGCCTTTTCTGACAAAGAGTAGCCACATCCCTAGTAAGGGTGATGTCACACGTTGCCATCGCCTGCAAGATCAAGCCCAGATCTACAAAGCAGCAACTTCGCAAAGCTTGTGGGAGAATCCGCAACGCCACCACACTCATGAACGCCTCACGGCCAGTGCTCGGTAACCGTGCCAGACTGCTGGAGAACATCGCCAATTGCGGTGTTGAGAACCGGCTAAGATTTCGAAGACCCGCAGCTGCTAAAACCTGGTTCAGCTCCTCCTCCTGGGGTGCCAACCCAAAAACGACTCCCTATGCTCACTAACCCAATAGCTTTGCAATATGGGTGGTGGAAGAAAATCCTGCACCGCGGATCCACAAACAAATCGAAATGCGCTGTTACTGTTACTCACAATCTCAGGAAGTGCATGATACCATTGCGAAATCTCCATGAGACTTCCGCTTCTAGACCCACTCTGCCACTCTGGGGTGTAGTGAAAAGGTAAACAAGAAAGGATCGCTAAAACACATTCAGCACCTCAATTGACGGACGGTAAACTTTTGTCCCAAGTAGACAAGCTTTTTGCAGCATTGTCAAAAAACAACAACCAGCTTCAGCCGCTCTTTGTCGAAAGACTTCCCCTCCGAAGATCACACGTCCATCCAACAAGCTGCTGTTGTTGTCACTCGCCACGGGAAAGAATGTGTTCTTGTTCATTGTTTCAGTCATTGACTGTCATCTTTGCAACCATTGCGCGCAGAATCTGAGTCAAAATGGCATTAATATGACGTTGGAAAAACCGTGCCACCAAAAGGCACAAGCAATCAAAGCATGATCCCTTCCTTCAACAGCTTGTGAACTCGTGCTTGCACGCATTGAATTTTTGAAATCCTGTGTTGTGTTTTGTCTCATGCATAAGGAGTGTCAAACTATATAACTGTTCCCATAAGAAGCTTTGGAACTTTGGTGAGTAACCATGTCGGTTTGGTGAGTGGGCGCTTGTCCATCTAATCCTATATATAGGGTCCAACAGAACACTCGACAATATACATTGGAATTTTGACTATCCCTCCATATATTTTGGCATCAATTGGCATCGTGGATGCTAGCTTCCCTCTCCTCCAAGATCTTCAGCTTCACCGCAGAATTCGCGAGGTGCGCCAAGTCCTCCGGTTCTGCTTCATCCAAAAGCCCTTGCGAGAGCCAGTGCTGAACAAAGCATCGAAAGGCCTCCGTCGCCAGGTCCTCAGTCCTTGGATGCGTTTTCTTCTTTTTCCGCGGCCTCGTTGACGAAAAGTAACGGAGGAGACCCAAAACACCTGGCCTGGTTGTGTATTTGAATAGGGAGGCCTAAACCACCTGAAGAAGGAAAATACAGTAAACCACAACCCATGGGTGGGGGGGGATCCCTACCAAACCCACCTATGATTGTCTCTGTATTCTTCACCTTGTCACGAGCCCAGGCTCTGGCTCGAGACGATTTCTTCCATTTTCTTCCCATCCCCAACACACCAAGAACACCAACGCGAAGCATCGCGAAGCGAAAAAAAGAAATCGCCAAGTGTCACCGGGCAACAGCGGGCCAGCGCATCAACCGCAAGGGCCGCTTGAGTCACGGTGAAGTCTGAGATACAGGGCCTGCACAACCGACATCAACCAACCCTTCGACACAATTTTTGTGATCGGGAGGGTGACTCTGAATAAAACACATCTGGTGTGTTGGACAAAAACAAATGGAGATCACTTTGTTTCGATTGAAACTCTACGCCATCCAGGTAGTTGGATGTATTTCGCTTGATCATGTTGATCTCTGAGTCAACAAAAGATAACAACAAGTCAGCAGGCTTCGACTCTCGACTCGAGTCCTTATGGAGTTGCTTACAAGGATGTTGAAGAGCTGCGAATCACAGTGCTTCACCACAGCAAAGGCATTGAGAGCCATCGTCGTCGAAACCGGCGGAAGGAGAGTGGATGATGCGTCTGCACACAGGCGGTCTGCCAACTTCTGCAGGAGACCAGCTTGGTTGGAGGAGGCGGAGACCCTGGAAAGCGCATTCGCCAAACTGCTCACGTCGGTGCTGGTCAAATCACCAAGTCGGCTGTCGCTTCGCTCGTCCAATTCCTTTGCAATCGGATCCAAGCTTTCGGTGCCACACCTGGAGCATTGCGTAAGCATTTTTCTTCGTTTGGGCAAGGGTCTACAGAATCGCCATCTGGAAAAAGAAGAAATCAAATTGGAAACATGTTCAGATGTATCCTTTGTTGAAACACATTTTATTTGCGTAGTTTCGTTTTCGTTGCGTCCAAAAGCAGCCATCCAGCCATTGGAACAGGTCAAAGGAACTTCATCACAGTTCACCCCTAAGCTTGGGCCGTCCCCATGCGGCAAAACACGGCGATCACTCTCGGCTCTCTCTCCTCAGCTTGGCCAGCGAAATCGCCATGGAACAAAGGTCTTTTTCTGAGGCATTGCGATCTGGCAATGAAGCTTGCAGCAAATCTTGGAAGAGGGCCACATCCTGCACAACTGACGCAGTCGTGGTGGAGTGCTTCAAGCGCTTCAAGAAAGTGCTTTGAAATGATCCAAAAATAAATGGGTTCTTGTCACAAAGATATTCTGAAATTGATTCTTCTTATCATATGCGAAGCGGTCGCACCACTGGCGCACCACTGGTCGCGGTCGACAGGCCGAGCGGGTGCACGGCGGCAGCGCACCTGGATCCCAGCAGCGGCATGGCCCTGCAAGATGCGACGAACATCCCGTGGAGTCAGTCGCTTGCGCAACTCCAAAGCTCGGGCACCGTAAGCTTTCCAAAGCGCCGGAGACGTGTGTTGGCCTTTCGAAGGTGAGACAAGACATCACTTAGAGTGATTGTGACACTGACACACCTGCTTTCCAAGAAGGAAATGAGGATTTAAACAGTTATAGTCAGCATTATTTAAGCACTCAAAGTGCGTTGCATACCTTCAAAGTGCTTTCAGGGCTCACAGAATGCCAACGACTCAGGACTCAAAAAGAGTGGGCCTGCCCCAGCGGAAGCGACGGCCGATCCCAGGACATGTGGTGCCATGTGTTTCACCTCTCTCAAGTCCAGCTGAAAGTCCAACAATGGCGACCTGGACGCATCAGTACCCTCGGTACACCCGCTATGCATGGACTGCTGGGGTACAAAAACTTGATGATGGTTGATTCAAAATGCAAGAAATGGTGTATATCATCCTTCTATACCGAGCAATAGAAGAAGAAATGGATGAAAAGTCACAAGAAACACATTGGACTTCAGAGAAACCTTGGAGTGAAAGAAGAATACCCGTAGCACGTAATGTAATTTAATGCATGGTTCGTACTCTCCACTTGCAGCTCTCGGTGCAAACCGGTAGCACCTTTGGGTTGCCAAAGAATTTAAAAAAGAAGACTTAAAAAAAAAAAAAAAACAAAGGCAAAACGGTGTCAAATTTCCGAATGGGCTAAAAAAGAGCGTATGATATTGGAAGGGAGAGTACTATACATTTTAATATCAAATGGTGTAATTTACTGTGGCTGCCAGATCCACCAGACCTGGGTGGAGCTTTCTTGGCTTCTGCTGCATATCTCCGGACTGTGGACACACCGGACTGTGGACGCAGAGCGCGGCTTCCGTTGCCGCTTCGGCCGACCCGCGGCGCTGAGAGTCGACATGGCATGTCAAGGGGTACAGCGGATCCCCAAACAATGGTGTGCAAAGGCTGCTAGTTTGGGTGTGGCTCGAGTTTTATGGTGCTTATGCATCTTCATGTTAAGTGTTGATCGATTTTTGGGAGTACCCTGAGAAGGGTCCAATGATCATGGGAGATGGTGGTAGTGTTGTGGTGGTGGCGGTTGGTTGTTGGTTGTTGTTGGTTGTTTGGTTTTTAATTGGTTGGTTGGTTCTTGCTCCTCGTTGTTGTGGCTCTTGTTGTTGCTGCTGCTGGTAGACTGGTAGACCATGCCACGGATGTCTGGTAGACCACTCCGCTGGGTAGACGTCTAACAGAAAACACCAGCGACTCCCCTGGTAAAGTTGCATCCAAGTACTTGCTCGATGTGACTGACTGAAAACATGTAGTTTATATATGTTTATCTTTTAACATTGCGTGAACGTTTAAGAGTGACCAGTCCAGTCCAGTCAATGCTCTGTTGTACTGTTTCCATCATTTGAGCCAAAGCACACGACCCTGGGTGCTCCGAAATCAATAAATAAATACAGAAGGCAATTCGCGCCATTTCAGTGGTTCACGATCTACCCCGATCCCAACGCCAGGGCACCCACGGAAAGCTTTGGGCATATTATAGATTATTATAGTGGGTCCTGCACTGGTTGGAAACGCTGCAACATCATCTGAGCATTCAGAAAGGCCACCATCAGGGGTATTCCAGGGCATTCCAGCTGGCCCGGGTTCAGGTCAAGCTGGACATGCTTTCTTTCATACGCATTTGGTCCAATTAGTCATTTGGTGGACAGCAATGTAAACTGGTCACAATATGTTACAATGATATTTGTCTTACCCAAATCAAAGTACGCTGCAATCTGAGAACCTTTGTGATAATTCCATGTTTTTTTGGTCCGTTCAACGTTCAAGTTGATCTTGTCCATGTTTCAATGCAATGCGTGTGTGTGTGTGTGTGCAAATCTCTAGGTCTGCACTCATAATGCTTCACCGAATTTTCCATCGAAGCCTCACAAGAGAGGAGGAAGGTCTCAAGATCGAAACCAATACAATAGGTTGGCAGTGACATGGACGGCCATTTCGCTGTGAGACTGAAACCACTTTATTAGTGAGAGGCCAATGCTGCTTTGGCTGTGCAGCCTCCTTTGAGACGTGCGAGGCATGCCAATGCATCAGATTAGGAGCACAGCAGCAGGCATATCTATGCTGCATATCGATGTGGATCTTGATTCAGAATGATCATTCGCCAAAGGTGAACTTCATAAGCATCTCCGAGAAACACGAAGACACGAACTGCCCTGCAATTTCTCTTCAGACTGCTCTGCAAAGGCCTTTGGCTTCTGACGGGCATCTCATGCGCTGCGCATCTCTGCGTCACGCGTCGAGGACTGGTCCACCAGTGTGGAGCTGTGCGCTGTGTCCGAGATGTTGGTCTTGCTGATCTCTGGGCTGCGAAAAATGGAGTTGTTCATCCCTTTCAAGTGCTTCAAGTCAGTAACCTTGGTGAAGGCTGATGTTTCAGGCTGCTTGGCAGTGTTGGTGCATGTTGGGGACCAGGACTTATTGCATAAAGAAAATAAGAAAAAGGGGCATCCAGTCGGAATCTGGTGCGGGGGTTGTCGTGTTTTTCTTTGGGTGAGTGTGGTGTCGCTTCGTTTTCAGCTGAACATGTTCACGGTCCACATCAAGTCTGTTACTTGTTGCCACTTCGGTCATTTCAAACATCACTCATGTGGCAAAATTGCCAGATTTCACAGTAGAAATCCAAAGCAAAAGTAATGAAACAAAGCAAACAAACATCCAACGTCCTAGTCACAACACAGCCAAAAACTTGCAAAAACACGCTCTTCTTTGAGCAGTTGGACTGTCTTCCCCATCTTAGACAAGAGTCAATGCACGCGTGGAACCACCTCGCGTCAGGAAGGCGGTCACAGCAGCTCCCACCATGCGGACTGCTTCAACGTCATATGGTGTGTCGATGCCAACTGCATGATCTTCCAAGAACCTCGATCACCCAGCGGTGAGGCAACCGCAAGGGTCCGCAAGGGTTGCTGAAAGGACACTTCGTGAAGAGTTAGATTTTGCCGAGCAGTCTGAAGGAAGAGGGGGCAGCAGAAAGAAGGGAGTTCGGTACTTCATCTTAAAGTTGGACACTGCCCTGCCTCACAAACTGCTTGAAGACTTCTGATGTTGCCAAAGATCTCCTGTTCTGTTCACACACTGCCAGTCTCTTCAGCTACCAAACGTGCGTCCTCCGCCAAACCGGGCATTTGGAACTGGTCACGCCTGTCGATGTTAAACTAAAGAATTCCATATCATCAGAGCGACTCAGAGACTCAGCCTAGTACCCTTTCAGCAAAGTCCTTGAATGGTCTAAACAAAGAAATCTGTCTTTCTGTTGCTATGATCCTGCAAGTGTCTGAAGTAGAGGCCCTCCATGCCTGTGAGTAGGTTGACCTTGTCACATAAAAAGAATTCAAGACTCAAGACAAGGAAGAATTGAATGACGAACGCGTGCTTTCTTCCATAACTGCTTGTTTGCTTGCGCAGTTGGTTCGTTGCTGGTGAACCCGAAGACTATGTTCTGGTAGATCAATTTGTGCTTCAACCATGTTCTGCATATGTGTTGCTCATTGCTAGGTTAAATGAAAATCTGCAATCTGACACATCATCAGCAAAGTCATCCACATCCCCGAAATTCCCCTGAAACCGCCGGAAAAATGCCCGAAAGGAATACTCTATAGTGCCCTTTCCGGAGAAGCTGCTTCGATTTGGCGTTTTGGCCCAGCGGCTCCACCGGCTGCATCGAAGTCCCTCCACTCCTTTCGTGCGTTGGCTGGAAGAGACAGTGCTGGTTGAAGTCACTTGGGAGCTGAATGCCTTCCGAACGCTCATGTAGACTAGTAGTAACAAGTGCATCGCTAGTAGTAACAAGTGCCTTACTAGTAGTAACAAGAAGCGAACGTAGAAACAATAAGCTAATAGCTTCTTGTTACTACTAGTAAGGCACTTGTTACTACTAGCGATGCACTTGTTCCTAGTAGCTTCTTCCCAGGAGCCGAACGGTAGACTCGGGTTTTACAGGCAAAGGCCAAGGGGAGTAATCCATCGACAGTCTACATTCATGTTGGAAGGGTTTTCATATCATATCTTTTGATGGTTTGTAGTCATGCCCTGCAAAATCTTGCAGAGTGGTTTTGTGAAAGGATCTGTCAATTTTTTCTATAGAGCTGTGGATGCTGCCTTGGTGTTCAACTGCTTTGGCTCAAATGAGACACGCGGAGACGAAATGTGGCGTCCTTGCCGTGGTGTAGAAGAAAGAGCTCCGTGATTTCTTCGAGACGACCCCTTCGATAGCCTCGTTACTCGTTCAGTCGACAAGAAGTAAGGCAAAAAGCACAATATGACCGAAAATGCGTTGGCTGTGTGCTTTGTTGTATGGTCTGCTGTTCAGTATACACCAATCGTGTCCCAGAACACCTTTGCATCAACACGTTCGTATACGTGTGTGACGTCCCACCCAAGCCAGTCGGGCATGTGCTGGTGCAGTGATTTGGTGCGCGGCTCAAGGGGGCCTGCATCGGTTGCCTGCAAATATCTTCTAGAGACAGCTATGACTCGACTGGCCTCAAAGACCTGCAAATGGCCGTGCCTCCAGCATGCAGCTGGTGCCAATCGAGCCTTGTACAAGGCTGGAATAGGATCCTGTCGTGTTCTCCACTTCAGAATGGGCAGAAAAAAGAACCGTCTCCCTCTTTCACCGTCTTTTGATTCATGGCACATGGAGATCTGCTAACCGCGGCCTCATCCCTTAGGGACTCCGAGACATCCCAAAGAATCTCCAGACCTGACCGTGTCACAACGTGAGCTGCTCCCCGTGCGCCCATGACAGCCATAAGCTGCCCGTGTGCCCTGCCTTTCAAAGCTGGATGGCTCAACATCTCACTGAATCGAAACCACTGCATCGCAGAACTGGGCGGCCTCCCTGTCACGTGAATGTGGTGTTCAACCAAGCGAAGCCATTGGGTCATTGGGTTTACCGCGCCTTTGGCAACCTGCAGTTCCACAAACCATATCCGGTTGTCACTGGCCTGAGTCTTCGCACTTTCGGGTCTCCGGTCTCCGTGTTTGACGAAACACGTACCTGGGTGCAGAGCGTGCTCCCTACGCGTGAACCCTGAGCTCCTCGCTATAGCCAGCTTCTCAAGCGCATCTTCAGGCATAGCCAAATGGAAGATGATCACTGGGTATCCTCTTCCAGGCTGCCTAAATGGAAAGTGTTGCACACGGATGATGTGGTTCAAAAACGGCCGGAACAGTAGTTGAATCAGTGCGTGGCGAGTTGAAGTACGACAAGTTCTTCAGGCGAGCAGTCATGTCCTCGACGCCAGAGCGCGACTTGCAGAGAGTGCAAGATCAAGCAGAATGATGCTCTCAGACAGAGGTGCCTGAATAGCGTCAGGTCCATTCTCTTTCATCCTTGGCGCAAGTCATGGACTTGCATGTGTCCAAATGGCTGGATCAAAACAGCACCAGTCAAACTTGGTCCTCTCAGACGTCTCACGTGTCTTTTCTTGCACTCTTTACTTTTTAACCAAACAGCATGTCGTTGCGATGCTGACTTTGACCATATCTCACCTCGCTGCCTTTGGAGCTTCGCTGGGAGCCTTTAGAGGTGAAGCCACTCTGCAAGGCTAACAAGCACTGAGGATGGTACACCATCACCAATCCTGCCTGGAACTTCCGTGCCTCAAGTAGAAGCTGTCCAAATGACAAGCGCGTCTGGAGAGGCTTCAGGAAGTTGGGCAGGTGGTCGCTTGATCCAGGAGCCCCTAGTAGCGTCCAAAACCTTCAAGCCTTCAAGCATCTGATGAAGCTTCCCCCAGCTTCTTAAATGAACCAGGGGTCAAGTAGGTGTTTTTCCTGTCCAAGTTGTCTTGTGTCAACACACAAGCAATCAAAATCATGAAAATATTTCCTGAAGTCACTGAAGTCCTTTTTCTATTGTTGCTTCTTAAGAAGTGATCACTGGCTCTGCTGACTTGTCGGGGCTCACAGCTACTCGCGTCAATCCTGGCCTCGTCATCCTTGCTGCGGTCAATCATGTCACAGCGACTTCCACGGAAGGGTGGAAGGCAGGCGCAGTGCGACCTGGCCATGCTGCTGGTGGGGGCAAAAAATTGCAGAAATGATCAAGAAAGGGAGGCAAGGGTGGCTTGCTTGAAAGTTCACAAATGCAAACAAAGGCATAAGCCCGCGAAAGAGATCCTCTGCGTCGTATGAGGTACAATGTCTCTGCAAATTCGCAAAGCAGACACTAAGTCACAAAGCTGGGCGGCAGCACGATAGTTGATACCAGCCTCAAAAGAACACGCCGCTGAAATTCAGCGGTTGGTTTACAAGGTTTTCCGTGTCAAATGTGTCAAGTTGGGCCGTCAGGCCATCAGGGTCAACAGACCATTGTCATCCATTGTCTCATTTCTGTCGATACCCGCTCCATCGATGTCACTCCTTTTGTTCGATGCGAGACTGGGAAGATCAGCTCTGAACTCGAAGCCCTGAAGTTGAAGCTCTGACTCTTGTTGGCCCTTTTGATCGGCACCTGCTTCAAGACCGTGGTTGGGACTCAGCCGCGACAGCTCGACCCCAGGTCAACCAAGCTTCACCAAGCCGGGAGAACTGCTGTATGCCGCTGTCGAACGCAAAAAGCGAGAGAGCAAGCGAGTCATGGCGAGAGTGAGCACTGCGAGTCATGGCGTCACCGACCTGAACGCCCGAACGGAGTCTGTCCACATCTGACGGATGGCGGCAGCTCAGGGAGCAGCAAATTGAAAGAGAAGATACGTTTCATCCATCCCATCAAATTGCTTTGTCTGCTGAAAGACCTGCGTGAAGCCCAAGTGATTCAACTTCTCAAAAAAGACCGGCAAAAGGCAGAGCCCATCCTGGGACCTTCCCACTTGCTCGCAGCCACAGAAGAATGAGCCGGGTCTGAGAACTCTCTTCAGGAGAACTGGAAGCAAGTCCTAAGTCGATCCCAAAAAAAACTGAGCACGTACTGCTGGGGTCCCTGTGCAAGAGCTTCTTCCATCAGCGATGTCTGGGGCTTTGCGAAATCCAAAAGCGCCTGAACATCGGCCTTTTGAGCTTGGCTTCAGATAAAATGTGCTTGGCATTCGTTTGTTTAAAGGGGAAAACCCCGATCGCCCCATTGGGTAGACAGGTATTTCGGTATTTCCTTCCAGGGGGTCTCCCTCTTGTACAGACCCGCATGAATCTTTCTCACAAATCGAGGCCGTGTTTGTAGTCTGAGGGGCGTCGTGTGGGACTGCATCGAGACAGTGATGTTAACACGGGGTTCACACGGTCGTCGCAAAATGGTAACACGGGAAGGCGGTAACACTGCATGATCAGACTTAAACAGCATACTAAAATAAGACGTGCCTATTGAGAAAAGAACGTTCTTGAGGTACAGGTGAGAATTCAAAAGGTTACAATTCTCGTCAGGTGGAGGTCAGTGACTCAGTGACTCTACTCACCATAATGTCAGCATCAAGCTCACGGATGGGCATCCACCTTTGCAAGAACAAAGCGGTCCATAGCTTTCTATCCTACATCTGAGGTACAGAACACTGTCTTACATCTGTCTATCATATGCAGCACTTTTCTGGACAGGTTTCAACCGTTGGGCGTTGGTAAATCACCTCACTTGCCACGACGAGATCTGCCGCCTCACTGGGTGTCGGATCCTCCCAGTCCAAGTCCACGACAAACGCACGAGAGCCAAGCTGGTTCTCCTGGGCGACGTGAATCTACACGGCTGCTGGGGTGATCATAATTTATACAAATGCATTTGTTTATTTATGTTTTTGTTCAAACAAATAAGTAGAATCTGATCCAACACTAGTGCTAGTTGGCAAATCATCACAAACGGTGCACGCTAAAAAAAAAGAAGGAAAGGGCAAGCAGCAGGGGTGTTGATCAGATGATCGTTGCTTTTCCAGATTGTTTTGCCTCTCCTGTATGCTCTCTTTCAAGGCTTCCAGGACAGCAGGACAGCGATCGCTTAAGGTGACTTTTGCCCCCAAGCTGGCTGCCACCAGTCCAACAAGACCTGGTCCAGCACCCACCTGGTCTGCAAAGATGGAGGGCTGCTTCGACTTCTTCAGAGCCCTGACTAGACCCCTGATGTTTACCAATGGCAAGAAAGTCTGGAACTCTTTTGCTTGGAAAGGACCGTTGGGTCAATGATATTGAAAGCTTGCTGTGGGGGCTGAGCCCTTTGGAGGGGGTTCGTGGAAATTGGTGATCGCTCCTAGGACACAAATCATGGGATCACTTCGACCCTCAAGAGCGTTTGATCAGGAGTAAGAGGACGCTACTGGGGGCTCCTGGCATCGCTACTAGGAGCATTCTTGCTACTAGGAACAAAGGGCATGGCTACTAGGAGCAAATGTATCGAAAGCAATGAAAGAAGCTACTAGTAACAAGTGCCACGCTAGTAGTAACAGGTGCCTTACTAGTAGTAACAAGAAGCTATTAGAGCAAATGTATCGAAAACAATGAAAAATGGTGTTCGGTCTTCACCCCAATGGCGGAGCTTTGGACTGCTCGGAATCATCACCTGCATGGTCACTCTTCCCCTTCCCATCCGACCCCGTCATCCGAGTCAGTCTTTGGGCGACGAAGATGTGTGACGCCGGCCTCGATGACCAGCAAGTCTTGGAGGGTTGAGAACTCAGAGACAAACCATTGGCTCAAGATCTGCGCCCCAGGCCACACTCGCCAACCATGACTCGAGAGCCTTGTTGCATCAGCGGCAGCACTCAGTTTCACTTGAAGCCTCACGGTCTGCCTGCCCTCCAAGGAGAAAGTCTTCCAGGAGTTGTCATGAAGATATAGCATAGGCTCTTGCTCCAGCTCTTGAGCCAGTTTGGTGGCTAAATCTGACATGTCTGATCCGCAGAAGTGCAGTCCTTTCACCGCAGCTTCAACACCCACTGACTGCAACAATCTCCGGTACTTTGGATCTTGCATCAGCTTCAAAATGCCATGAGCTGCAGTGGCAGCTGTCTGCACGTCACCCCGCAAGCTCCGCACCAGGAAGTGTAAGAGTTCACAGTCTGTGGTGTCATCTGTGTCATGCTCCGGTTCAAAAAGTGTTTCAATGACCTCTTGGACAGCCAGGTCTGACATGGCGCGGATTATTGGCTGCCATCCAAAAGTGTCTGTTGATATCTGGGACCCGCGTGGGGACATTGAACATTGAAACCCTGCAGCTGACAAACCTGAGTTCCTATGAATTCCAGTTTGGACATGATTGGGGTGCAGTGCAGAAACATTGCCAAAACTAAGATACCAATACAAACCTTGGGAACATGATATAATTGTTTTGCGACTGCGCCCTTGTGCGAGGAAAACATCTTTGATATATATAGTGCAAACAGAAAAAGAAAGGAATGTGACGGAGATACAGTGTTTGGAGGTTGATCCTGTGCTCTTCTGTATCTTTCTTTGTTGGTTCATAGGCCAAAGACCCTTCAGGGCAGCTCAGCATTGTTTAACTCTCCGTGCGCGCATTGCATGTTTTCTATGAGGAGCAAAGTACTTGGCCCCCGACACCACATCGAGCTTGCATTTGGGGATCCATTTGTTTGCTTCTGGGCCAACACCTGTCGTTCGTTTGTGGGAGTCAAATATAGGGCAAAACTGTCAAACATCGCGGAATCTCCCTGAATTCCCAAAAATGTCTCTCAATCTTGCCCCAAAACCTACCAAAACATGCCATCTGTCAAAGGTATTCAAGTTCCAACATCTCTAGACGAACATCTGCCAAGTCCGCACCTGAGCCGATGCCAAGCCGCGGCTGGTGCCGGTGATCGCCTGCACGGCATTGAGCCGGCGCTGCAAGGCCCAAGCTGCGGAGCTGGCCGAGCTCTCCGAGAAGTCCTGAGCACACGAGCGTCGCAGCACACGGGGTCATTGTCGCAGCTACTTGGCACAGTGCTTTTTGGGGGGTAATGATTTGTAGTGATACTATCATATTATACTATATTATGACATATTATGACTTGATACATGACTTGGCATGTGCATGACATTACATGACCTGGCCCGGGGCCAGGCGGCGGGCTTGTTTCTGAAAAATGTGTGCGTGACATCCAGAAAAGGATCTCAAAGCATTGAGTCCTCGCAGCTGTCTTTCCCAGTGTAGTTTGCTGATATCCTGGCCCAAGCGGAGATGCTCCGCATGACGGGACAAGCTCGGAGATTCGATGGGCACCACATGTCAATGTGCCCGGATTGCAAAAGGCCCTCTCGAGTGAGAAACTCCCTGAAGGACCTGATGCAACAGGCGGCAACGGGTGTGATCTTGACACATCCAAAAAGCATAGGGCATAGGGATTCTTCCGGGCCTGATGCACCCAAGTCCTTTCTCATCTTTTCCTTTGCCATCTGGGCCTAGGGCTTGCAACTGGCATAGCTTTTCAGGCAGGGTGTGCATATCACATGTGTCGTGAACTCTTGAGGGGAAGGGAAAGAGTGACCCCTGCACTACTGCTCTTTGACATACCTCTTGACTGTACATTGGAAAGCACAGTCCAAGCATTCTGCTGAGCCAGGTGAAGTCAAAGCCTAGAAGAGCCTGCGCACGTTTTCAGTCAACAGTTGAGCAGCCGGTTTCAGTGTCTACCATGCCTCCAGCCCAAGCAAATAGCGAGAGAAGGGTGAGCAGTGCCAGCCTGCGTGGGCTCGTCCCCGCGCGAACTCTAAAATTATCACTGCCTGCTCTGCTGATCCTCTCCTTGACGCCAGATGTCAAACGTCGATATCGCTGGGCCTGACCAAGAAGTCTAAATTCATTCCAATGTGTCATAGTTGGCGAATCGCAACAATTCCTTGCCAAACATAGGGGACCGAGAGCTCTCCCTAGCTTGCAGACTGCTGCAGAGTTAAGCAGACTGCTGTACATTCCTGGCATTTCTGTCCGGCGGCCCCACCAGCAAGTTCCTGCTGCCGCAAAAGCGGCACGACATTCTCATGCGCAAAAACCTCGAAAGCAACTTGCTGTGGATCAGGACAGGGAAAAACAAATGAACAGAAGGCCTGACTGTACCTGGGGATGGACTGTACCAGTAGGGGGTCATTGCGCGCAGCAGTTTTGGGCCATTGGGGAAACTTATCTGACCCAATAAGATTAAACAGCCATGGGCCATGTCACACCTGTCATATCTCTTGCCCAAGCACCTAAACGGCATCTTCCGCTGCCGGTAATCAAGGATCAGACAGCATACAGGTGCTCCAGGTGCAATAGCTGGTAGCCTCGGGCTGTACACAATGTGCAACATGCTGAAACGGAATTGGTTGACGTTCGCATCGACACAGCTTGACAAAACTCTGGAAATGATGGTTCTGAATTTGGACCAAAGATACGCCAAGTAAGTCACCGACCCAAAGGCTCAAGGATATTCACAACAGTTTGAAGCGAACACCTTGGAGTGCAACTGGGGAGACTGTCGAGGAGACTGGACTTCTTGCTTGAAAAACATGGCCCAGGCATGCCCTGCGGGATCCTGCGGGCAGTGCAGCAGCCCTTTTTCGTCTTTGGATTAGCAAAGGCAAGCCCGGCCCGGTTGATCCTCCGCTTGGCGGAGGCCAAAGACGAACGCGGGTGCCTGCTTGGCATGCACGGCGGGCCAGGTGCCCTAGCAGTCAAGGCACTTTAACCGGCCCCACTTGAAGGTCAACGTCGTCATCTCGGCGGAGACAATCAAAAACACTACAGCTCCAGGTAGAGGATTTGTAGAGATTGCGAAACGGGACAGATACCATAGGAAGGTCATGGTCAGAAATGGGACCAACGTAAGCAGAGCAGCCCCGGCGGAGACCAGGGCGTCACATAAGCGACACGCCCGTTTCCGCTGAAGCCAGTTGGTGACCCAAATCACAAAGGCGACTACCAATGGACTCGCACAAAGCCACATGGTCAGAGCTTCTATCATCAGGGCAAAGACCTCCCACTTGTCCGCTTGGGGAATCGCTTCTGCGATCAAATCCATGTAGGCCCAAAAGACCGGCAGTTGAGATCCCACGACCCAACGGTAAGGCAAGCCAAAGTGTCCTAAGGATCGCCAGAAATAGCCCGCCAACTCTGCTTGAACAAAGCTATCGAAGTCTGAGAGGCTGCCAAACCAGGTCATGATGCAGGCTTGAATCACCTCACGGTCGCAGGCGATCTTCTCGCCCGTCTCCGGCAAGCGGTGGTTAACACTGCAGCAATAGCACTGGGCTTTGTCGACTTGGAACTCTGCCAGGTGCTGTCTCAAAATGGTCATATCTCTGTGGAACGACCTCAAGGAGTGAACTCCCAGAATGGTAATGAAACTTTGCACCGCCGGCCAAAGCGTCAGACTGAACGTCAAGGTCTTGGGAAAGAAGAAAATCAACGCCCAGTTGATGAGTGATGCTGTCATGAGGCCAAAGTAGACGGGAGCGAAAATCACCGGTCGAATCTCCACACGGTTCTTCAAGTCATTCCGATGTGCCCAGGCAAAGGCGGCCATTTCGAAGACACACCAAAGTCGCTGGGCGTAGCTGGGATCCCAAAGAACCAACATGGTCTTGGAGTGATAGAGAAAAGCACCAATGCTTTCCACACCCTCTTTCTTTAGGACCGGATCTTTCTGATGAATGCAAACCTTATCCAAGAAGACCCGCTGTCTGGGTCTCCAAGTCACAAGCACTACTGCAAAGGCCGCTGTACCAAAGATTGTGGTCCAAGCAGCATAGGAGTAAGCTCCGAGAACCGATTCAAGCTCCACAAAGTATGGCAAAATGCGTGATGCTCGAAGGGCTACGGCTACGCCACCAACCACGATGCTGAGGAAAACAGCGGAGGCCTGATTGTAGTACAAGAGAAGAACCATCACTTTCAGAGCGGTATTTGCTCTCCAACTATGGGACCAGAACTGATCAATAAAGCGTGTCTGGAAGCTCATCATGTAGTCATCAAAGGAGTCTTCCCGTTGTGCACGTGCTTGGGGATCCCGCGTTGTCATGGAGCGCCCGAATCCCACACGTGTTGACCTCCTGTCGCGCAGAACTGCACCAAAGCTTACCAGAGGTTTGTACGCCCTGGTGGCACGCAGAAGCTGCGGAGAGTTGAGCCTCAACGACACCATTGATGCGAGTGTTCTTCTTTGACTGATGGAAGTCAAGGTCGGCACCCGTTGTTGATGACGAGAGCTGCCACCTAAAATGCTGGACAAGGAGGAGCCCGCGCGCAAGATCCGACTGACGGCCCGAGTGATGACTCCACCTTGTCGACCCGAAACCTCGGGCTCGTCGGGGTCGTCCATGCTGATGTTCAAGCCAGCCATGGCCGCTCGGGTGGCAGCGGCCCTGCGAGCGTTGGAAGACAAACTGCTGAAGGAGCTCTTAGAACTTCGACTCAGGCCGGCCCGAGAACCAGGTGTTTTGGGACTGGCGTCCTCCTTCGTTTCACTTCCAATGGTCCGCTTCAAGCTTTCCGGAGGCAGGGTTGTGCTTTTAGTTGAATTCTGCTGTACTTTGCTGTCCATCCCCTTCTCCAGAGTTCTACTGTCAGCGGGTGAAAAACCCACGTGGGCATCATGGTCATGGTCCTCAAGTTCAAAGTCATCATCACCTTCAACGATTGCGCAGAAGGTGGTTCTAGAGCGAGATCTCCGCCTGCTAGCTTCACTCCAATGATCATTGAGCCTTACCTCATCCTCTGTCATCGCCGCGAGCTGGAGATCACAGTTATACGGTTCACAGCGATATGAGCAGTTGCCTTCATGATCGTAATTGGGACGTGTCAAAAGCAACTCTGGCCCTGCGTGGTCCTCAGGGGTGCAACAAGACTGTTGATCATTGGGAGGCCAAAAAGCACTCGCGAGGACGTCTAAAAGCATCGCGGCTCGTGCGCAATGCAACGCCCAACACCGCCCTTGGCACTTTGGTCTTTACATCGGGCATGCTTTGTTTACCAAAGTACCCTAGCTCTGAGTTTCGGCCAAATGGTCACGGAATCACAGAAGGTGCAATTCCTGCTGCTACTCTCACTATATATTATATTGTATTTTTATTGCCAGTGAAATTCAGTGAAATGGAAAGAACTGATTAAAAATATGGCTCATTGTGAGAAGCAAACAGTCATGCCAGCAAGGAGCAAACATCATCATTGTCCAGCAAAGATGGACGACAAAATATCACACAAAAGGTCAAGCACGGTTTGCATGCTACAGTTTCATCAAAATCACCTCAATCACAATGCATCAGCCAGCCATGAACATCCGGCTTTTCATTAGCTCCGTTAGCTACTGTAACGCCACATCAACCTCTTGTCCATGCCCAGCATTGCCCAGCCATATCATCCTTAGCTCATCCCTGATTCACGCATCCAAGAGTAGAGAAATGACCTGCCCTTGAGCATCATTGTGCGCTCACCAAGTCAAATTGCCTGTGAATTGAAAAGAACTGGTCGTCATGCACGTCGTAGCATGTTTCAGGCCGTCACACGCGTTGCCTGAACCGAAGACGACGAAAGGACAAAACTTGGCACTAAAACGATCCCAGCGGAACATGCTTCGGTGCCATGCCACACGGGCTCAGGGCTCGTGCTGTGCTGCAAAATGCCGCCGAAAAGATTGAGAGTTGGCGGCGTCTGGTGAGAAGCCAGCCTGGTCCATGCGCAAAAAAGATGGCGATACCTGAAAATAGACCTCTGGTATGAAACGGTTTGTTTATTTCCATTGATTTGTATTCTGTATTCGCTTCTGGCAGTGCTACGGCTACTGCGAATGGACTCTCTGAACAGAACGGAACTGAGCGTGCCACCCGTTGAGCGGCTTTAATCTTTCGACGCATCCAGAGGAAGGACAGCGTGTAGTTGGGTTTGACCTTGGGCGAAGCCCACAGAGGAAACAGGTTAACTTTGTTGGCTTTCAGGAATGAAACTGCTCAAGTGATGATAATATAATATATGATAATTAGATCTCCTATATTGGGTATCTCTGCCGCGTCTTGAACAAATCGTCTCTCTCTCTCTCTCTCTCTCCTCTCTCTCTCTGACTCTCTCTGACTCTCTCTCTCTCTCTTCCTTTTCGGCACTTCTTTTGGGCAAACCACCTTGCCTCGATGGGAGGTGGCACCACCGGATTGATCGGTACATACACCAGGCTCGCCAAGCTGATCTTCTCGGACTCACCGCGGCGTCCCGCGACGCGACGCGACGGGTGCGACGCAAAGGTGGTGCAGTGAAAGCATGTGAAAGCTGGTGTCCCACAGATCGTTAGTGAAGTCAAAGGAACACAACCAATGCTGAACCGATTCTGGCAGGCGACGCACCTCCAATACTTTGGACAGGATGTGGCAATTGCCAGCCAGAGGACTCACAGACCTGGCGCATCTGTTGTATACCCAGTGGACTTGATTTTCGTGACATGCCAGGGCTACACCACATCATACGGGTGCGGAGGAGCCAAAATGGGATCGGGCCATGCCTCCCAGACCGGCTTCTCCTGCCACACGCGAGGGCCACGCGGCGCCGACCTAACGGTTCACCGAACGAGGCCCGCAACGTCTCCTGCGAACGACGTCCAGACCATGCCTGGGCCAAGCGGGAGCGGGAGGAGCGGGGAGGAGCGGGAGCTGAATCGTTGTGGTTCAAATTGTGAAACACTTCCCCCGGAGCGTTCCTTCCCAAGGCAAGAGACGGAAAACAAGGGCACTACTCTTAGATTGCGCGTTCAACCAACGTGCCTTCCACCCTTCGCTAAGAACTTGGCAGTGCCGATCCACCTCACATAGAGCGGATCTTTCACCTCTGGGTTCACGTTGACGTAATAGACCTGGCTCTCGTGACGTTTTCAGGCGACAGTCGAAGACGGTCGTGACCGCGGTCACTGAGTCCCCCCAAAAAAAGGTCTTGGACCTGCCGAAACCAGAAAGAATGTGTGTGTGTGATCTTGTGATCTTGGATCGTATAGAATGATCCTGATCTTTGGAATGTGTGTGATCTTGTGATCTTATAGATGTGTGCGAACTTTTGCCAAATCTGGGTGAAAGTCTGACGGCTGTCTCGCAAGCTTGTGGGATGGATATGCCATGATACGCCCGCCATTGTTCGGTGAAATGAAGAACATCCTCGAGCTTGGGATTGGCTTTCCCACCAGGTTTATGAAGGAGGAGATGTCACACCTTGGTGCTTCATCGGCTAGAGTCAATAGAGACGTTTCATCATGCTTCAATCTGCTTTATGGATACAGCAACGGGGTGTTTTTTCAGGGATGTGCCCGATACAACGGGCGCTGCGGCTCCACGGTCTGGAAGGTCCACCGTCCCGTCCCCTGGAAAACGGCGAGTGGACCCAGGCGCACCACTCCACCCTCGTTTTCAAGGCACAGTCCGGGATCGAAGAGCAATCCAACCTGGAATCGAGCTGCCAAAAAGGAGTCCTACAAGCATCTACAAGCTATTCAAGAGAGCTCAATCTTGATGTGCTTGAATACTTTCAACGTGCCATGGAAGCTCAAACCTTCTAACATCTTCAACAAGCCCCAAACCGATGCTAACATATTAGAGAAAAATGGAACATCGCTGCACGGCTCAACAGACACTCAAGCAGCCCATTTTCTTGCGTATCTTGCATGCGATCTTCTCCCTCTTCATCCAGGGACGCATGCTTGCGCTTGGTGCAAGCGGAACTCACATCAACTGCAGAGCTTACATCACTCATAGGCGTAAGACCCGTGATGCCCCAGCGAGAACCGAAGGCGCGAGAACCGAAGCTGTGATACATGTGCACATCTCTCAGCAGCTCGTCAGCAGCGCTGGAATCACCACCTGCATCAGCACTGCCCCAAGTGATCACCCGACCATCTGCGCGGATAGCTGCAAATGCAAAGTGGGTGGAATGAATTTGTTGCACCGCTTTCAGCTGATCTGAAACCGCTGAGCTGTCGCCACCCGCCTCGGCACTACCCCACGTGATCACATTCGTTCCGTCCTCAGTGGGAGCTTTGATGGCAGCGAAGGCAAAGGCTGAAGCTCGGATCGATCTCACTCCAGTCAGATGTACTTCGACCCCCGCGGTGTTGCCGCCACAATTGGGGTCCCCCCACGCGACGACGTCGCCATTTTGCCGAAGCGCTGCAAATGCGCCTCTTGAGGCTTGAATATCCTTCACATCCGTCAGCCACGGTTGAATGGCAAGGCTGTAGCCTCCGGATGACTGGCCGCCCCAGGTCACAACATAACCATCATTGCGAACTGCAGCCAGTGCCGTTTGGGTTGATCGAACCAACTTGATGCCCCGAAGTTTCTGCTCCACACGGCTGCTGTTGCCACCTGCACCTTCACATCCCCAAGTGAATGCCGAGCCATCTTGTCTCAGGGCCACAAAAGCACTCGGAGAGGCTTCAATGTCTTGAATATCTCCAGCTGTGAGCAGTTTATGGACTTCAGGCATTCGTTGAGAATCACCTCCTCGAGCAAAACTGCCCCAAACGACAACAGTGCCATCAATGCGCAAAGCAGCGAATGCTGAATGTGTGGCCTGCACCTTTTTCACATTCACCAACTGGCTCTTCACTGACTGCGAATCTCCTCCAAAGCCTTGTCCCCCCCAGGTGATCACCGATCCATTTTTGCGAATGGCTGCAAAGGCGAATCTGGAAGCACGGATCTGCTTCACCTCAGTCAGCATCTCCTGGACACTGTGGGAGTCCCCCCCCAGCACTTGGAGCTCCCCATGTGACCACTCGACCATTCGCCAGAAGCGCTGCAAATGCATATGCAGTGGCTACGATACTCTGCACCTGCTTCAGCTGGTGCTCTACTGCTTTGCTGTCCCCACCACCTGCAGGTCTGCCCCAAGTCACCACATGACCATCCACCAACACAGCTGCAAATGCGCATGAGGAGGCTGTGATTTGATCGACACCTATCAGTTGCTCTTGAACTGCGTCACAGTCACCTCCACTGTATTCATCCCCCCAAGACACTGCTGATCCATCACCCCGGATCACCGCAAAAGCTGTGTCATTCGACACGATCCGTGCGTTGCGCTCCAGAGCGTTCACGGAGTCGCCATCCTTGAGACCCGCATCTTCCAGACGTTGCCAGCCTCCACAGGGAGAGATCTGAGAAAGCGTGGCCCAAAGGCGGGGTGGCAGGTGTGACCGGGAAAAAAATGCCGGGAATGCCCATTGGAAGAAGACTCAAAGACCATCAAAGACCTCCATCCTTTCAAGACTCGGGTCTTATTGCACCTACAGGCGCGTTCCCTAATTATGCGTACTTTCATGTTGGCTTTCGGCGCCTGCCAAGACCTGCCCTGAAGCGGTGGTCAAAGAGCTGATGCCCTGCTGCAAGGCATCTTGTGCCCTGAACAAGAGCTCATGGACATACATGTCTGAAGATAACGCCTCCAGGGTGGCTTGCCGATCCCAGGTGAGCACGACATGGATCGATAACATCTTTCAGCTCAAGTCAGCACCTGTGGAAGAAAGGCCTCCTCATCAGCTGGGACTGGGAAGCTAGCTGGTGCAAGAGCATCTATGCTTGTCTGTGTGTGTGTGTGCGAGCGACTCCATCTTGTGATGTGTCCACTAGCTGCTTCCTGGGGCTTGTAAATTTGATGCTGCATTCTCATGCTTCATGCTGCCTACCTAGGGATGTGTGTCAATTTACCAACTGGAGAATTACTGCAAAAATATCAGAGCTCTGTTGAACTGCTAGCTGAATTGGCGTTCTTTCCTGGCAACGAATTAAACCTAAGATAATGCCAGCGGGAAAGACTCAGTCATCTTTACAAGAAGGCTTTAACATGCATTCAAAAGGCTTTGGTCCCAGTCTCAGTTGCTCCTCTTGTCACACCTTACTACTTGTCCACAAAAAGCTTAGACTCAGGTCAGAAACCGCACATCAATGAGCAACCCAGGACCAGCTTGGATGAATCTTGATGCTGAGGAGCTTGCAGAGTCCTCACAAGATTTCTCCTTGTTGAAGTGTAGTGCATTCCGGATCTCAGCGACGAGTCAGGCAGCAGAATCAGCGCGGGAACTTTGGGTTCGATGCATTGTATTGGGGAGCTTTACCGGCTCCAAATCTGGTTTCCACAAAGTACATCTTTGGATGGACTGGCACTCAATACCTCCATGCTTCTGACCTGAGCCTCTTTAGCGAGGACAGCGGTTTTGCACCTTGACACTTGGAGACACCTTGATGAGTCTTTTGAAGCGATGCTACAGTACTGTGTGCAGCTAGTGGTGCGCTTTGCTCAAATTGGATAATTTTAAAAAACAAAACAAACAAACATCAAAACACATCAAAGCCATTGATTCATCGAACAGGACAGCTCAGCACGCTGCCGCCACGTACGAATGGTAGATCGGCCTCGGGTCCGATGGCTAGATCGACGCCGACCGCTTTTGGCCGCTGAAAAGGACCGCTTTCATCCGTTGAAACGGAGCGTTTCTGACCTGCCGGAGTTTTCAATGGCTTCCAGCATTTGCTTGGCAGTGGCCTCGGCAAAATCAGTGTCAATGGCTTCCAACTTGACAAACGAAGTGCTTTCGTGTTTGGTGTGTGCTGTCTCTTTCAAATCAACTACGATGATTGCAGCACACTCTGACAAGTAAGCATGATCACGCCAAGCTGCGCCTAGCCAAGTGGGTATGCCAGTCGCATCTTTCCGATGGGCACGAACTGTCGGCTCCCTGAACTGCTTGCCTCACCAGCTATAAGCAGGAAGTCGCCAGGTGGGAGAAGAAACGGATCAGGTCCGGATCATTAGGTGCCCAGTATTAATATAGTTAATGGATGTTAATGGATGTTAATGGACTCCTTAGAAATTCGGTGCCCAGTAGTTTTCATGGCTCTTTAGGTGCCCCTTTTTTCATCGGGCACCACGGATTCACCGAACTCGAAGGACTTTTTCTCGGACGAAGTGCTTCCTCGGTTGGAACCTGGTGGCTGCAAGCCACTGCAAAGCGGCGATGTGCGTGGCACTGGCCAGCCTGCGCACTGACCCCTGGAAAGAAGACTCGACCGCATGTTATACCATTTATATGTATTAAAAATGTATAAAACATATATTGTTTGTAAAACAGCCTTACAGTCTCAACGCGTTCTGGGCAGGCTCAAATCGGTCGTTCCTTCGCGCCTCCCCAAGGAACTGGACGCAGAAAGAGTGCGTCCTGGCTGGTTAGACCGGCCGTGGTTCCCACGACATCCCACGACCGATCGTTGGGAGTGAGCTCTCCTGCAGATCCACCGTGTTGGCCTCTGAGCTCTCCAAAAAGTCGATCATGGCCTTCTGGGTCCAGGCAGGAAAGCCTGAAGAAACCCGAGACTGGTGAGGTGTTCGAGGGCTTCCGAAAAAAGCAAGCACGACAGGCGAAAGAAAAAAAAATGTCTTCCACCATGAGAGTTGTGCAAGACCTTAAAAGAAATGTGAAGAATCCCATCAATATCCATGCGCAAGGCCTCCTGGCATATGCCGAACGTCACCGGCAAGATCTGGGATAATATCAAGGAGATTCTGCAGAACTGTTGAGAAAGTCGAGCCTCAAACAGTTCTCATGATTGCACTGCACAAAAAAAATATGTAAAATCCTGTGTACAAATCTTCTTCTGGGATGTTCCAGAGTCTTCGGATTCATGCTGCTTGATCTCTTCTGCTTCAATGAATTTTCTAGGCAGCTGGCAAACTGTTAAGGCTGTGCTCACAAATGTGGCAGCTGCACCAGGCTCCTGAATGGTCATTTGGGGAGTACGGAGCGAAGTATGGCAATGTGCTGGTGAATAGAAAATATAAAAGTGAGACTTTGAATGAATTGGGCTCACCGGCCTTGAAGTCCAAATGCGTTGTCTTTCCCTGCTTGCAGGCTTCAGACTGCGTCTGGAAGACTTCAATGATCCCCAGGCTTCTGGTATCCTCAAGGACAAACGCAAATACTGTAGGGGCTATGAGCGAAGAGAAGGGACATGTGTATAAATAAAAATATTGTGCACATGCCAATGGAATGCAAAACAATTATACTATATATATATATAAACTGAAAAGGCGCAAACTGTTCGACTCTCACACTATGATCTGATATCAGAAGCCCTCAAATAGTTTCTTGCAAATGTGATTGCTGCCGGTTGTGCCATCCTTCAAAGTTTCTTCTGCTGCTTTCAGCATTGCCCGCTTTGAGGGTAGAGACGGAGGATGTTGGCGCAAGTGGACAGTTGAATCAGACACCTTTGCTGAAGCATCTATCAACTTGCAGAATGCCAAGACCTTCTTCTCAAGCCTCTGGTAGAGTTGCTCGTATGGTTCCTGAATACCATCACCTCCAGTTCGGGAATTACAGCCCATGATGCAGGAAGAAATCTCATAGCTTCCTTCAATGAACTGGGCGAGACCACCAATCAAATCAGCTGCAATGTAGAGTAGCAGTCGCTCTTGTGCTCCGTCAGCGGTTCTTTCCAACACGGCGCCCAATGCAGAGAAACTCTGAGACAACAAAATGCTGGTCTCTCTGCGTAGATCCACCAACGCAGAGAATCCACAGCCTTCAAAATCCCAAGTGTCAGGATCCATCTGGTTTTCCAACCCATCGTTGACGTCCACAGAGATCACTGGAGCTCCTGCTTGCTGGAGGTTGCCGATCGAAACCTCCGAAGCATCAACTTTGAGAACCTCATGATGCCTCTGAAAATGTTCCCCTTCCCATGAAGTGTGTGATCTTATTTTCGTAGCAGTTATCTAGCAGCTGGATCGAGCAGCATACCTCCTACAGAGCCGTTCATTGCCCTTCTTGGCGCACTTTTCGGTGCCACCCCCTCCCTCTTCCAGCTCCTGCAGCTCCCAAACCATTCAGTACCTGCTCATTTGCGTCCAGTTTTTTTGATTACCAGTACCAACTATATCATAGATTCATAGATTGTGGTTTCAGAGGTTCGATGCAATCCCCAAGGTTGGTGTTCATATGAACCCCCATCTAAATCTCAAAGGACTTCTGGGGGTGCCAGTGCCTGCTCTGAAACGACTGTAATCTCACATGTCACATGGCTCCGAGTCCCAGGCTCCGAGCCACCAGAGCCGAGTCATTGACTCGGCGTACACGTCGCACCATGTGAGCGACGTCGGCAGACGAGCGAGGTGGGCTCCGGTGAAGCGCTGAAGCAGCGACTGCGACTGAGACATTCGACTGGTGCGGCACAAAAGGACACGCTCTTTTCAGCGTCAAAGGGTCAAAATGAACTTACTTCGGAACTTCCTTGATGTCCAAGGGCGCGCAGAAAACAAGAAACACGCAGCGGCGCTTTTTTGGGGGGGCAAAAGCCTGACACGTCATCGGGCGTTCAGACTTGCAAGGCAATAACATGGACCTTGTGTTGCTTTTTTGAGTGTTTTGATGTGCTTCAGCCTGATATATGTGTATTGATGTCTTTTGCAACAAAGGGTTTACTATGGTTTACGAGCTTCTCTTGTGCCAAAGACTAAAACATGCGATGTTGTCTGTGAATTCTTTGTGTGTCGCGTACATGTATTTTCTGGTGAGACCTTGGCGTGACACATCTGAAAAGTGAAACATGCCAGTCTTGCGCTGATTCCATTTGCGAAACATCCAACAGCAGCACAGCAAATTAAACTGGCATTGTTTCTTGCGCAATTTCCTGGCGAAACATGCCACGTCCCACGAGTCACACTACTCTCATGTGCTGCGTGTCAAGTACTCCGTGCAAAAGAGTGGACACGAGGGAAAGCAACGCGTGTCTGGAGGTGAAAGCAAAAACAGGTCGAGAAAACCGAGTCTGTTCAGCGTCACACTGTCGATGTCCCGCATCAGACTGCTTGACTTTTCTTGCGATTGGGTTGGATTAACCCTCATCAGAAGGGATGATATCCCCTAGCCATGCAAAATCATCGCCAGATGCAGTGGCCTTGAGCAAGGAAACAGGAATGCGTGACAGAGTTGTCAGAGCTGGCGAAAGTGAGAAAGCTTTAAAAGTTGGCGAAGGCGCCTTTGATTCTTTTGACCTGTGAAGGTCTCCAAAATGCCCCTGGTTCTAAGGTCCAAGCACTCTGGGAGGGTGCTGAAGCCTTGGCGCGCATGGCTGCGAGCAAGGCATAGCAGAGTTTAGCAGAGTTTTACCCTGACTGAAGTAAACGTGTCGATATGTGTCATGACTTTTTCCACAGCCATCCTCCTGCTTCGCACGCTCGGCCAAGGCACCGGAGGATTCGCCACATCCTGTGGGAAAGTTTTCTGGTAAAGCAGCTGCACCTGGAATGACAGTTGGCTGAAGAGACACTTCGAAGACGCTCCAAACATCCAAAAGCCAAACATCTGTTGCGACCAGCAAGGCTTTTGTCACAAACAAACAATGCTTCTGTTCTATGTGTTGTTTCAAGGTTCCCGCAACGCGCTGCTGTGACAGAAGCAACTCCAGCACCTTGCAGGCAAACTTGCCAAAGGTTCAAGACTACGGTCTTGGTATTAGCATCCATAGCATGTCCACGGAGCAACAAGCTTTGGGCAGCTTCAGGCAACCATTTTATATCAGGTGTCGACTCGAGACTCTTTCCGAGGTCATATTTTGATGAGATCTGATGCTGGCACACCTACTTGATTTCTGCTTGATAGATGTGAAGAATGTAGTAGGGGGTAGTGCTCTCTTCATTGCTTTTCATAAGACAACACTCCTCTCCTTCCCAAGCTCCAGACCCTTTCCCGGTCTTGTGCATTGAGCTCATGCACCGACCTCGGGAGCAGGTGCTCACCCTCCACCCGCAGAGACTTCGCTCGTCGCTCCAGTGGTTTCGTTTCGGTTCTTCGATCGCTGAGGAGGACCGGCACAGATGATAAAGGCGGATACGGCGGACCGGTTCCTCCAGGCGAAGTCGAGGGATCCTGGTGAGACCGAGCACGGACCGAGCACGGACCGAGCACGGCGAAGCCAAGCACAACGACTGGTTTAAAGGAGAAAGCAAAGAAATGTGAAAGGCAAATCTTGCATTTGAGGACTACCAGCCATCTAATCATGGAAGACTCAGTCTATGAAAAGCATACGCCGAAGAATAGGAAACATCGTAAAACCATGGTAAAACCTCACTGCTGTCGATTGCTGAGAGCTGTCGATTGTCGACAGGAATCACATGGCCTTCGAGTTACTTAGTTGCTCGAAGAAGGCAACTGTTCTAGAGTCCTAGAGAAATGGGCGTTGTTCAGACACGCGGACCCCAGCGACCGTCCTGGCCCTCGGCAACAGCCCTCGTCCTCAGCGTAGTGCGAGGCAGCGTGGCCCGAGTCATGGCCATGCTGTTGCTTGAAGAATGCTGTGTGATGTCGATATGTTTATGCTATCGACACTTTTTCCTACAAACCTAGGAACCACATGAACGGTGCGAGCGTTTTCTTCAAGTAAGTGTGAGCTATCCTGCATCCTACCTAGGAGCTGCCTTAGCCCTTTCTTTGATTAAGTAGGCGCCTACTTAATTGAGTAGTAGGGAAGTAGGGAGGCAGAGCGGCCTGTAAAAATTAGAACTAATGAAAGACAATAAATCTACAATAAATCAATATATACAGCATATATACCCCGAATCTACAAATGTCAGATCTGAGACCAAGGCCGCAGGACCTCTGCCTTGACATCGTCTAGGCTCTGTCGCAGCAACACTTCCAACTCTGTGCGTTGCTGCAACATTTCAGCCTAGCGAACACTGGCAAGGCATAGTAAGCATCAAGCTCTGCACATTCAAATTCTAGCATGTTTTAGCTTCAAATGGCAAATACTTCTTGAAACAAAGACTGTTTCCTCTTAGTCAATCGTCTTTAAAGGGAGAAGTGCCGTTGCCAGCATCTTGTAGGCGTGATGTAGCCCGTTTTCACCATACGACGAAAATAGTTTCTGAATACGACTCACGACGAAAATAGTTTCTGAATACAGGAGTTTCTGAATACAACGAAATAGTTTCTGAAGACAAGTTTCTGAATACAGTGCAGTTTCTGAATCCGACTTTGTTCGTTTTCACCATGCCTGTTGCTGCTTCAAGGCAGTGACTGTCCGGCGCTCCTAGGTGTTTACAACAGGTTGTTGTTCGGCATATCCGGAAACACAGAAAACAACAGCCCCCTGGGCTGGGAGAACACCACTTGGCTCAGCATGTTCTACTTGTGAGCCAAGTGCGACAGATCTGCTGAGCCAAGTGCGGAGTCCACCATGCGCTTCAGCTTGAGCGCTGCTTCTCTCAGTGCCACCTGGCACAGAGAATCCTGAAATCTGTTTCAGAAGCAGCGCTGGTGAAGCTCCACCTCCCGCTCATACTGCTTGTTATGCCTCAGCGCATGATGTCATGGCTGTTGCTGCCAGAAAACACCACAACGTCTGGGTACGTCTGGGCCGTCTGGGTGCGGTGCGTTTGCTGGAGCCGAGCTTGGTCAACTTGCCTCTGCGAGTAGCTCCGCCTCAAGACACATTGGTGATGATTGGTGTGTATATAGTGGGATAAGGAAACCCTGGCTCAAGAGGTTGGTTGTTGATACAGTACTTGTTGATTCTTCCCCTTCGACCAGGGGCTCAACTGAAAAAGAAGTAGCAGCTGAGTAGCACGTGCATGCGTCTTATGTGTTCCAACCTCACGTGCGACCCTTTGACCCATTGCATCTGCCCAACGACCGTGGATGTCGGAGCCTTCGAGGCTTCTCTGTCTCGGTGGAGCTCTGCGCCTCCGGTTCTGCCTGGCACGTGGGGATGGAGGTGAAGGACACACAACAAATTGGTGGAGTGCTCTTTGAGATTTAAAACTCGGCTCATCTACTCAGCCCATCTGTTTGGGTCAAAACTCAAAGAAGCGAGTCTGAATGAAGGATGTTCCATCATTTTCATCTACCCCTACCCCAATGTTGGAGGATTTTTTGACTTACGATCCACACCAGGTCACCAGCTTGATTCGAGCTTGATCTTTTTTGGGGATAACATGACATACAAAGAAGTCACAGGTGATTCAAAGGTGTGTTGACGCCCACAGACTCTTCCGGTGCGTGGTTGGACAATGGTGCTATATATATATACATTGCTTTAAAATATGTTTAATTATGTTTATATACTTGGTCTGAGTTTCAGGCGCTCTCTTTGCCAGTCAGCTGCTGCTTCAGAGCTTGCACCTCTTTCCTGTGCTTTACAGTGCGAAGATATCTAAGTCACGCACATCCATTACACATATAATTGGGTCGGGAAACACATGTGCAAGCAACTGAAAACTCGCGATTCACCCGTCCTCGATAGAACCAGCTCTCGCAAGAGCGCTTGTCGATCATCTTCGCGGGTCCGCAGCTTCTCCTGGAGCCTTCGTCGGACGGGGGACGATAGGAAGAATCTATAAGAACCTGGGCGGTGCTTGGCTGTGCCTCCACAAAAATCCGAGAACCGAGAAAAACTGAGAAAACCAAGCATAATTGTAATGGGATGATTAAGCATCACGCTTCTGATTTTCGGCTGTCAGTTGCTGGTTCTTCTTGTCAAAGGTCTGCGCCAGCTCCTGCGACGTCGCCCAATAAAAATCAAAGAATCAGAATTTGGACGTTGCTGTCAAGATCTGACCATGAAGTATCCACAACTGCAGGTGGCTGTGTTTGCAATCAGTGTCGAACACGGAGACGAGAGCGAGGTGTGTTTTTTTTTGGTCTCGGCTCTCGAGCTTTGCGGGCTGGAAGCAACCCCCTCTCCTGGGTCTTGTGCAGCTCAGCAACCTGGGTGCAACCAGGGTCGACCAGACGCTCGACAACGTTCGAGTGGGGGTTTTCACTCAGTGGTAGTGTGCGCAAGCAACTTCCCATGCTTTCGCAAGGCATGAGCAAGGCTGAGCGCCCAACAACTCGGCGATGATGTGCTTGCTGCCTTGGCAACACATCGCGAAAAAACCAGGCTCTGAACAAAATATGCTTAATGTTGCATGTTCCCCGAGTGAATATTAACAAAAACGATAACAAGAAAGAACAAAAAGAAGTGTGTCCTGGATTCCCTGTCCCACTCTGGTTAAATTTGGTGCGTTTTGATGTCGCAGTTGTTCATCCAAATCTTGGACCCAGACTCCGTGGAGTGTTCGCCCTTTCGGCTACGTTGAGCCTCCAGGTCCTCGATCTAAACAGGTCACCCCGAAGAAAAAAAACAACTGATCAATCAAAATAAAATCACGTTTTCTTGTCGTCATGCAAAACAAAGAAAGTATTGTCCATTGCAACTAGACGCGCTGTCCTTTGACACTTCCTGCAGCCGAGCCCTAAAGGCTCGCATCAAGTCCTTCTCTTGATCCTGGGCGCGGTTTGTTCAAATTCCGCAGCTGGACGGAAAGACTGGTGATGCGTGAGGTTGACAATGTGTGTGTGTGTGTTTGAAGAAGAAGAGTGTTCAATTGTGAGACCATACGGGGCTGCCCTCTACGGGGCTTCGCTGCGCCTGAAGAATCTTGGCTGTGTTGGTCTGGATGCACTCAAGACCTGTGATCACCTCGGAGCACAGGTTTTTAAAAAGAACTACTTTAAAAAACACGTCCGTGGGAGCTCCCTCGTCTGTGAAAAAACACATTGCAGAGGTCTTTCGCACGTTTACAGGTTGGTCGGGCCTTGACTTTTGATGCAAAAACACTTGTGGACGCCACTAGGAACAAAGGGCATCGCTACTAGGAGCAAGGACGCTAGTAGCTCCTGGCATTACTACTAGTCACAAGAGGCTACTAGGAGCAAGGGCATCGCCACTAGTAACAAAGGGCATTACTACTAGTAGCATTCTTGCTACTAGTAAGTCTTTGGAGCAGTGGGGCACTTTGCTTGCTTTAGGTACACATGCCACCTTCTGAATTTCGGTCAAATCAATTGGTGGGACCACACACTCCCCTGACCCAGATGGCGCCTCACTTGCACACGCAAGATTCGCTCAGCTGTACACACAGCATTTCTTGATACAAGTAACTCACCTGCGCACACAGGATTCGCTCACCTGCGCACACACATCGATTACATGATTGTTCAAGCTGTGCCTGATACCTCAAACTCACCTGCGCACACAGATTTCGCTCACCTGCGCACACACAAATTGATTTGATGTGATGTGTACACGATATGTCATTCTTTCATGATGTGTCGTTGGGTCAGGTCTCCACACACATGCTCGTGTTAATAACGTCCGTCTGGACATTCATCTACATGATGATCTCTTTTTGATCATTGCTTCCACAGTACCATGTAACACAGATGCTCTGTGTTTGATTGATGTTGTTGGGTTGGGATGGGGGGGGTGGGGGTGATCAAATGTAAATTCATCAAAGCATGTCCAGGCTCCTTGCACTTCTATGCATGTTGCCAATCGCTTCCATGCGCTTGCCTCAGAAATTCCACTGCCACTCAGCACAGCACACGAGCGTCATCGAGCAGCACCCGGTGCGGGTTCCCGGAAAAACGCGGAGAAAGAGGGCGGTGCACTGGGGTCCCTGGCTGTGTTCGTCGTTTTCGGCACCTTCCAGCAAGCGCTTCTCCAGTGCCTCGATCTTGTTCCTGAGAGGCCAAAGCACCCGAAGGACGCAGAACTGGGTGATCCAAAGTGAGCACCGTCTGATATTCAGTAGACATCTGAATCAACTCGGTAGGAACAGAGCCCAATCTGGGGCAACGTATTGTTTCGGGACCGAGAAGCTATTCTGGTTCCAGAGTCAATGAGGGTCGCGGAGTTTTGACTCATAGCCGCTTGGTCTGTGATGAACAGGATGCATAAAGAAGGGTAGCTTCTTATGGTACTCCTGTCGTTTAAAAGCCTTGATCTACATGGAACATCATTGAACATCATTGAACAACAAAGCAGTGATCATAGGATTCAACACATGCTTACAATCTTTCTCAGCAAATCACCAAGCAAATCGGCATTTGCATGGCCAAATAATAGGGCCGACTGTGTTTTGAATGAAATCACAGCTCAAACAAGCTACTGGGGTTGCCCTGTCATTTCTGAATGTAAGTAGCTTCCCTGCATCCATGGGTCTGTGGAAAATGTCGGCATCTTAAGAATGTCGTCACAACGCTCTGTGGGGTACCAAACCTGCTTTTTGGTACCCCAAACCGGCCTCTTGTTACACCGTATTGAAGACTTGAAGTTGGGAAAACCACGATCCATAAGCACAGCTGCGGGCAAAGATTCTTGGCCACTGTGCGTTTGAATGACCTGAAATTCTCAAGGACCCTGGTCGCTCATATATGTCTGGTATGTCCTTGCTCTTGGTGACTCCAAACGAGGAATTGATCAGAATTGGATCACCCAGCCCACCCAAGGTTTGCTGTCAAAGTTTCATCGTGGCTTTCTCACGCTTCACCTGGCAAAGGTTGCCACTGCAACTTGTTGAAGGGAAGAATTCTTCCAGGAAAACATGGAAACTAATTCAGGTGTGAGTCACACAAAGTGAAAAGGAAAAAAACAGGCCAGGGCGTGCAAAAGATGCAACTCGATGCTTGTACCTGGCGATCGGCACTTTTTTGTTGTGTATCCTTGCTCACTTCATTCACAAAACAATAAATCCAGACAAGCATGGCTTTCGACATAGGTCAACAGCCCCGTATCCCCCAGAATAAATGCAGAATTCCATAGGATAACACGGTTTCGGGATCGCTCATCCAGTTTCCCTGTCTGTCTACAAGACAAAGAGTCCACGTACAGTAGACAGCGCAATGATCTTCAAGACAACCTGTCCAAGGACTCCACTGATCTTCAAGCGTTCGATTCTTGTTCTTTTCCTCATCCAGCTGCTTCTGCAATTCCTGCGATGCCCAAGAAAAAGAAGGATCCGAATGATTGACCACACCAATCATACTTCAACCCGTGAGTTTTCTCCTTTGAGACACGTTTCTGGAAAGCTCAGCAAGTTGATTGTCGACTTTTGGCTAAGTTGACACAAAGAAGCGACAAAGTGGTCCGCAATCATGGCATCTCGATCGTCACTCTTGATGGAAGCATTCCTGCGCAGCAAAGTCGTGACCCTCCTTGAGGGTGTCGGATGATGATGATTTCGGACCTTTGAAAAACGATTTCGGCCTGGCAGGGTTCTTCTGAGATGTCAGCTTTTCGGCGAATCCAGGCGAGTTTTGTAGAAGCCTCGAGAACAAACGATCGCTCACTCAAGGAGTACGCCTGCGATGAAGGCACAAATCCCTGCCTGGTAGCACTTGCTTGTGCCTGTTGCACCGACTTGTCCTGAAAAGCGAACCACTAGGCCTGGTACTGTACTCCCACTCTACCCACAATTGGTATACTCTTGACAGCAATTGTGGGCCTTGAGACTCAGACTGATTGGTTCTCAAAATTCCTTCAGGTTCTGAGTACTGTATGTGTTCTTCTGGAAACCCTGATGGTACGCGTTGCCATCCTTTAACGTCTTGATGAGTCGTGGTCTCTTCGTCTCTTCGGTATACGTCTGCGTGGTTGGAAGCGAAGCGGCGGTTGCCGTCCGCTATCAGCGCCCATCTCACAGACTTGATCTTCTGGTGAAATGGCAGCACCCTGTGTTTCATTCTGCGCAATATAGACTTCACCAATTACTGTAGTGTAGTTGGTTTTAATTGAAGGATGCAAGCCAAGTTCAGGCGACAGGAGATGTTTATTCATTGGGGAGGTCAGATTTGGAGGATCAAATGAGAACTAGTGTATAGAGCGGAGACCTTAAAAGAAGCATTCCAAGGTGTTCAAAGCTTGTGCAACCACGGCATTTGTCGGGCGAGACATCATGAAGCTTCTGCCCGAGCCAGTTACAAAACTGTTCGGCCTTGTTTTGATTGCTCTGGACTTTGCCGAATAAGTGATTGAGAATGTCGCGATAAGCCTTTGCGTTATGCGTGTTGCGATGTTGGGCAGAGCAAAGCCATTGCATTCTCAGTCTATGATAATATTCTCCGCACCGACCAAGCTTGGCCCTATATTATCTATATTGACCCTAGCTCTTGGTGAAACACAGCCACACTGAACATTTTGATTCGAGTCATGTGATTCTGGCCAGTGCGAAATGGCTGATGAAGGGTAGAGACAACCATTGAAAAACTGTCAACAACTTTTTTGCTTTGCTCTCCTCCGCCATGGATGTAGATGACGTGAATGGGCACCAGTGCAGGACCCTGTCACTGTCGCAGCACAAGGCACGAACGGTCAGTCAAAATGAAAAACCATGCCTCGACCGAGCAGGCTCGACCAGTAGCGGCCTCCTTAGTGTTGTACCAACTGGGCCAGGACCAAGTTCAGGCTCTAACTGTTGCCAAGAAGCTCGCTGCTAGCTCATGTGGGCGGCCTGAGCCTGCTTTGCGCTCCCTTCCTCTTGGAGCCATAAACTGCAGTCGCATCTGTCATCCTCCAAGCACCTCAAAACTTATCAAGCTATCTCACCTACCCGGGGTGTCGCTCTCTAGATCGACATCAAAGTACTTCCCCAGTTTCCACCGTGAGACACCGTGCTTCTGGGACCGCACACAACGGATTAAAGTACAACTACAACCTTACCTAGCGGCCTAGCGCACAGCTCACAGCGATACGACTTTCAATCGGATGATACGTCTTAAGCACTCAAGACTGGGCCTACTGCTTGTACTGTTTGCAAATCCAAGCAGCAGGCGTATAATTTTTAGATATTGTTAGTATCAATCCACGATCCATTTATGATCCATCCAGACCCCCTACTGTAGTCCCCCTTGGGCGACTAATGCAAAGGTCCAGCAGGTCAACCAGGCAGGTTGACCCAGGCAAATCTCTTTCAGGGAAACTCTCTCTTCTACGCCGACAGAATTGCAAAAACAGAACTACCTTGAACCTCAGAGTTGCAGTGCTAACATGTGCTACAGGAACTATATCACTGCAAACATCCAGTCAAAGTGCTTGCTGCAGGGTAACCACTTATAACATCCACTTATAATTAGCAGGATTGTTACCCCTGCACTCCATCAGACCTTTTCATCGCTCGTGGCTGCCAAGCCTGACGAGCACGGAGCTGAACATATGGAGCTATTCAATTGAAAAGCCGGGTTGCCCGCCTATGTTTCAGGCCGAGCTCCACGTGAAACGAAAATGAGTGCATCAAGGGGGCGCGGTGGCCTCCGCAGAACGCCGGCGAATGAATCACCTTTTTGAGGTCAGTGATTCTTGGTTGATTCTTCAGGCCAAGCGCGTCGCGCCCAAATGAACATCATGAGGGCATGGTGTTTTTGGAATCATGTGGCCACCATGGGTCGAGCGGTCGAGCACGGTGCCCTACCAGTGATCAAAGCAACGGCATGCAACGGCTGGTCCGCCTGAAATGGGAGCCAAGTGCTTTTCGTTTGCCACACGGCAAGGGTGGGGCAGCGGAAGTCCATGGTGTCCCATTCCTCACAAACGATGGCAGACTGGAGATTCACCCTTGCAGAACCTCGATGTTTTTGTCCTAATTAAAAGATGTTTCGAGAATCTTTGATCAAGAGGCTACATGACTCGTTACTCCAGCAATGCCAGCATGGCCACCCTGTCCTTCTCCAAGATGCTCTTGATCTCTCGAACCAGGTCACGCCGAACCTGCGGGCGTATCCGATCCATCCATCCCTCCACCCGTCCCATCTCCGACCTGCGCGGCGTTCTCGCCCTCAACTGGAAATACCTTGGAGGGAGCTGAACATCTAGGGAGCGCTCCCTATCTTCACAAGTGAGAGTTCACATCTAGACCCGAGGCTTATCATCCTTGTGCTTATCATCCTTGCTCAACTTACAGTGCTTCCCACATGTGCTCATGTCAAGATTCCCGTGCACATGCGATGGTCATACTATGTCATTCCTCTTGCCAAAAACAGCAAGCACTGCAAGCACATTTGATGAAATTTGCAAAACACGCAGTCCGACTGCGACTTTTGTGTAGTAAAAAATCAGTAATGCCTCCCCTTCTCCGCACCTCAAAGGCAAAGCAGAATGTGAGCATTTCCCGTGTCGTTGCTGCATTGCACAGCCCACAGGCCTTCCGTGTCGTTGCACTCGCTCGAGCAGCGGAACGGGAACAGCACAAAGCTGAACGGCCTCTTCCACCGCTTTGACCCAAGAAGATACCTTGGGTTGATCCAAACCTGCATCGAGCCTTCTATGATTGTATGCCGCACATGACACTTCTACTTCACCACCTCATTCATTCCAACTTATCTGTTCTGTTCTGTTCTGTTCTGCAACTTCCAATAATTCTAGGAAGCAGGCACATGCTTGCGAGCCGGGACCTGTGCGGGAAACTCCGTCAGCACCGTTTAGTCATGTCATGTCAGCTTCCCTTGACTCGTGCAGCTTGTTCCTGGCAGTTGAGCTTTCAACCATCTAGGCTCTTGCCACTAAGATCCAATAAGTAGCTTGAAGGCTGGCTGTCTGCAAAAGTCCTTCATGATGCTAGTTCGTTCACAACGACAATGATAAAACATGATAAACGATGCAAAGCAAGGCCTGTTGGCGCCAGCAATACAGATGTACAGTCTGCACCTGGGACAGCTGGACGTGAAGATAGACATCGACACGAAGCTAGACATGATCGCACCACCCCTGCCATGATCGTTCTCTCGGAAAGGACACTCGGCCCAAATCATCCAAAACCGGACTTTGAGGTCTTTATTTCCGCCCACTGGTCGCACATGCGATGAACCATGACTTTGCATGAGCTGGTCATCGCGAACTCAGCTTGGCGCGCTCAAATCGCATCGGCCAGTAGGTCCAGGGAGCCTTGGTTGGTTGATGCCCTGATATGGAAGGTTCAGAGGTCTGTACGTGTTCTTGACAATAAAACAATTCATGAATCTCACATGTGTGTGTGAGAGAGAGAGAGAGTGTGTGTGCGCTGCATATGTTGGAGTCAGACGTCGCTTTTGCAGTTTCCTTTTCCAAACTCTTGAAAAGATGTCCTTTCTCTGAAACTCTTTGGTGACTTTTGGAGAACCTTTTGAGTTGACTTCCAGCAGGGGTAATGTTGGGATGTTGGGTAGAAAAACGGAAACGCTCCTCTTCTAAAGTCATCAGGCTGTTTCAGGTACTTTATTAGGATGTGTCTTATGGCAGGATCACCTAACTCTCCTGGATCTATTAGGTCCCCTTTGATCCGCCGCTTGATCCGCCACCGAACGGGATTGACTCTTTCCCCTGTATCCCTGTGTGGGTCAAATTTCAAACCCGAAAACAACTGCAGCAAAGATCAACAAAATGTTCTATTCTAATTCTATTCTATCTATCTATATACTGTATACTGCTTTGATCTGTGCCACATGCGCAAGGGAGAACCTCCTTAGCCAAGGAACAGAGTGGAAGACTGCCTCAAGTCGCCGATGCACCTTACATTGAAACTCTTTCCACCCTGTCTCTCATTCACTCCTTCCTCGGAATGTGGAATCACACTATATAACAAAGTGCAGGCCAACATCAACCCATATTTGGAGCCACTTTCGAAAGAAGGGTTGTCAAGTGCAGCTTGCGCAGCTTGCACGGCCGGTCCTCAATCCCGGAGCCAGTCATGTTCGAAGCCAAAGGCAACGAATCCCAGAGCCAACCATGACATCCAGGTGTTTCGTCACTCCTTCGATTCAGTGGATCGATTCGTCCCCACCTCGGCATAGCAAGCTGCCCAGTCCACGTGGTCCCCAGAGCACTCTGCCACCACACTCTGCGACCTCAAGCTATCAGGTTGTGTGACATGCTCAAGAGCCACTGCCAGTAGTCTAAGTCTAGGTGCGGTATTTTGGGTTAGTCAGGTATCCTTGAGCCATACCAAAAGCTGATAGCTGATAGCAAGTGATCTGAGACATGAGTCATGGTCCTCATTAGGCCGATACACAAGTGCAGCCAAGTGGTAAGCTTTGGGCTGGTGGATGAGCTCTGGCCGCCGAAACGGGTCCAAGAGCCGCACGGCATTGAGGCAAATGCATTCTGCACCCGTTCGCCGGGAAGGCTTCAATTTCTTCACTGCAAATGTCCAGGACCCCCAGAATGTTGTTTGTTTGCGTAAAAAAAAACACGTTTTTCTTTGGCCACCCACGATTTTGACATATTCGGCCTCGCCTGGTGGCACCAGCTGGTACAAGGGTCCCAGGGGTGAGGCCGAGACCAAGGCCTGCACACCTGAGCTGCGCACCGTTCGCCGCTGAAGCCCAACCAGTCCCAACGCTCGCGGGCTCGCGCGCGTTCGAACGCTGCGAACGGCGTTCGGGCGAGCGAAGGTGAAAAGAGGGCAATGTCGTACCACGTTTTTCATGCCATGATCGTGGCATATCGAAGGTTGGCACTTCACATGATTTGAACGGAAGTTGGTCTCGACGCTTCTCAACGCTTACCATGTCAACGTATGGGTGAGTTATGTGAGTTTGAAATGTTCAGAAGATAATAAATGCTCTACAAACAAAAAGGCTTGGTTTATTGTCCTCTGCTTTAGCGCCGGACGCTTCATCAGCTCCAGATGCTTTTCATCCAGTTGAAAAACGCAGCTGCAGCCTGACAATGTAGGCAACACAAAAAGACTGACAATGCTTGAGCAGTGGGAGCCACACAATATCGGGAGCAATGAGAGGGTGAAAGCTCTATTTGGGAAGGTTTCTTTGGATGGAATCGATGCTACAAAGACCTGCAGGAATCTGAATGTCACTTCTGAAGGAATCTGTCACGACAAGTCATCTGGTGATGCGTCGATTACATGTACACTAACAACTGTTGATTGCTTTTCACGTCATGTTCGTTGTCTGCTTGGAGATGCTTGGAGAACCGACCAATGTGCGTTTGTGAAATTCTGACAATTGCCCTGTTTGATGGGGCATATCTGTGGCATCCAGAAGTCTGTATAGATCAATCACACACATGCACATGCTCCCCAAGAACGCTCAGCTCTCCTCGCTTGGTCCCGCCTTGCCAGGGTAGTTCTTCCCAAGAAATCGGGTCAAACCTGGCAGGTGCGGGTCAAACCGGATTTCGTGACAGCTCGGAGTCCGGGTCCGGTGTTGAGGTGTGAACTGGTGCCGAGGGATGGAGAGGTCTGGCGGTGGTCCAATGTGCACCTGGGTCAAGAAGCACAAGGGCAACAAGGCAAAAAGATGTGCCAACACTCCTGAGCTCCAAGCAATTCGCAGGGAAACTGGACGTTTGCCCGAGGACACAATGATGTAGCGCACCTGCTCACAGACCTCAGAGAGATTGCCACACACCGCTTCGTCAAGAGATTGGGGCTTGTCTCTATAGCAAACCTGTCCTCCACCGCCTCTCGTCCTAGGCGTGAAAAACATGAACGATTCATGATTATTATGTTCGCCATTCCGCGGGCGCGTCCATTCTTTGAGCTGGGCCCACACTGGGGACCCACAAAAACGCTCAAAAAGCTCGATACTGAACCACACCGTGCAAGCAATGGCATGCACTGGTCAATCACCATTTTCTACAGAGGGGTAGCAAACTGTCCACGAGAGGGGCTGAAGTCAGTTTTGGAAGCTTGGTTGCAAGCCGGCCTCTGCACGAAAGCCTATGGAGTCACGAAAACGGCAAAGAAGGCCTTAGACTTTGACGTTGTACATGCACTTTGCATGCTGGAGTACCGAGAATTCGATAGTAACATGGCTAGAAGCTTGGTTTGCGGCGGCATACATCAGCTTGAGGCACTGCCTGCCAGATTTGCGTCAGGATTAAGAAGCCTCTCTCAAGCAAATGTCCGACAAGGCATGGTATGACGCTTTCGAGCGATTTCTGAACCGGTTCCCTCCGCCTGAATGCCCATTGCTGCCACTTGCACAATGCGGTCATAGAGAAACCAGTAGGTCCGGCTCTTCTCAGGATTGTTTGTGAGCAAAGCATCTGCTTGCTTCGTAAAGTCAATAGGCTCCTCACGTCGGCGACACACGCCGCTCAAGAAAAGAACGCTCGTGTCTGAGTCATCTGTCCAGGCCTAGGAAGGAGTTGCTTTGATAAACTGCCAGCTTTGGTTTCAGAAGAGGTAGTGACTCTCACTCCCGCATCCAGAATGTTGCCTCATAATACATTCTGGCTTTGAATATATATAATAGTATCAAAAGTGACACGTGAACACCAAGAGAAACATCAAGAAATCACGGCTGCCAGTAGCAATGGAACAGGGCCTGCGAGAAGACTCCACAATAAGAATCCAAAACGCTGCATTGCTTGGCCCATGTGTACGTTGGCCCCATTTGATGTATATTGAAGTCTCTTCTTCTCTTCGTAACTACCATCTCATCATCTCATCCTAGCTTTTTCCCATAATGTCTTTCCACACCTTCCTTGGCACCTTCCTGATCACCTGCAAGGGTTCCTTCCACCTGCATGAACCTTTCCCCCCCCGCCGGAGTCTTGGTGTTTCCTTCGCCGGTTTCGCTACTCACCACGGTGACGGCGCGGGGGCGCCCCCCCCGGCCCCGTTCGCTCCTCGCCTTCTTCAAGTACGGGTTGCCGAGCCCCACCGATGTCATGGAGTTCTGCCGCCTGCGACGGTCGGGTCCGATCGGGCCCTAGGCCACCGAAGCGGTGGGTGTTTTTCTGCAAAAAAGGTCATTTTGCATAGGCGATGGTTGGCTAGTCCTCATTGTTCTACATTGATTCCTAGAACCGGACACAGCAGAGGAGTTACCTTTGAAACCAACTTTGAAGATGCCCAATGTACTTTCCTTGCCAGACTGGGCACTTTTAAAGAGTGATCCTTTCCTACCAGCAACACGAAAAACGGGTACCCGAACTTGGATGGCTTGATAGCAGTAAAACAAACATGAAAACACTGGCTAGAGGACTACCAACATTTGCCGTGTTTCACCTATCAAAGTAAATCAAAGTGGCGCTTCAGAAATACAACTCAGTTTGGCGAAAGCCATATCAAGTTAGCGTCATACTTGAACCGCTTGAAATACATGTTTTGTCACGGCTTGGCGCGACGTGGGAGTTCAGCATGAGACATGCTGTGGCTGTTCGGCACACACTGGGCTCCAGGCTTTCCAACCACAAATCCTGAGTAGCACATTCCTCTTTCATCCTCTTTCCAACCAACAAGAGTGAAGCAAATGCAGCAGTTTGTGGATCAAAATCCGCCGACCCCGGCCTATAGCCAAAGCCTAGGCGGGGAGGCGCCTGGGACACCGCAGGGTGAAGCAGTTGGCCACGCCTAGCAGAACCCTTCAAGCACTTCCAAAGGCGCAGGATGCAGCAGTTGGCCAAGCCTAGCAGAACCCTTCCAAGCACTTCCAAAGGCCTGTCCGAGGCCTCACCAGCTGGCCGGCCTGTTGCGGCCTCTCTGTGGCCTGTCCGAAGCCTGCCTCCTCTCTTTTTATGGGCTTCGAAGGCGACGTTTAGGCATTTTGGACCGCCTTCAAAAGCTTTTCGGCCTCTTGCGGCCTCTCAGTGGCCTGTCCGAAGCTTCTCGGCAGCCGGCAGGCCTCTTGCGGCCTCTCTGTGGCCTGTCCGAAGCCTGCCTCCTCTCTTCTTATGGGCTTCCAAAGGCAACGTGAGGCATTTTGGACCGGCTTCAAAAGCCTCTCGGCAGCCGGCAGGCCTCTTGCGGCCTCTCTGTGGCCTGTCCGAAGCCTGCCTCCTCTCTTCTTATGGGCTTCC